AGGCTAATTACAATAAGCAAATCAAACTATTCAAACACGCTCACACGCTCAGGGACTTGCTCTGATGCTGTTCAAAGAAGCACGTAATGCACTTATAGGATGGGAATCTCACGGATCCAGAATCACCAAAGCATCTTTAAAAACAAAGAATACGAGAGTCAAGATGAATGTCATCCAATGTTATGCACCCACCGTTGATAGCAGTGACGGCGAAAAGGACCAGTTCCATAAGAGGCTGCAGTCAATCACAGCGAAGTGCCCAAGAAAAGATCTCACCATCCTGATGGGAGACTAAACGCCAAAGTCAGAAAGGATAACACTGGATATGAAAATGTCATGGGATGACATGGATTGGGAGAGAGAAACGAAAATGGGTAGAGATTTGCAAATCTATGTGCAGTCAACAAATTAGTTATAGGTGGCACAATATCAACACATAAACTCATGCACGAGGCTACATCGGTCTCACCGGATCACACCATGGATAATCAGATAGATCATATTTGTATCAATAAAAGATTCGGAAGGTCAGTGGGAGACGTGAGAACCAGGTGAGGAACTGTGATAGCTTTAGATCCACACCCAGTTACGGCCAAGATGAAACGGAAGCTAAATAAGCATGGGATAGCTGGACAAACAGTATTACATAGGTTTAATACAGTAGGCGTCCAACTTCAAGACCAATAGGCTGGATTCCTTAAAGATCGGTTGTGCACAGACCAAATCGCGACTCATTGGATCATCATTGAACAATCAGTTGAGTGAAACTCGTCACTATACATCAGCTTCACTGACACTACGGTGTACCTGAGAAAATCAACATCATCCGAAATTCATACGGTGGAAAACATCGCAAAGTCGTGCATGGAGGACAACTGATAGATATATTCCAAGTAAAGACAGGAGTCAGACAAGACTGCCTACTCTCCCTCTTTCTTCCGGTGGTCGACTGGCTTATGAAGACCTCGACATCTGAGGGAAAGCGCGGAATACAATGAACATCTCGGAATCATTTACAAGATTTGGACTTCACGGATGACCTGACCCTTCTATCCTTCTACACCAACGAATGCAGATAAAAACAACTAGTGTAGCAGCAGCCTCAACACACACAAACGAAAAAGCAAGATCCCCAAATACAACACGGAGAACACCGACACAATCATACTTGATTGAGAAACTCTGGAAGAAATGGAATCTTTGACGTATCTGGACAGCATCATCGATGAACAAGGATGGTCTAATGTAGACGTCATGGTAAGGATTGACAAAGCAAGGGCAGGATTCCTGCAATTGAAGAACATATGGAACTCAAAAAACTGTCAACCAACATCAGAGTCAGAATCTTCAATACGAACGTCAAAACAGTCCTACTGTACGGAGCTGAAACTCCGAGAACTACTACAACCATGATCAAAAAGGTAAAAGCATTTATAAACAATTATTTATACAAGATACTCAGTGTCCGTTGACCGCATACTATCAGCGACAGTCTGTTGTGAGAGAAGATAAACCAACGTCCAGCCGAGGAAATTAGGAAAAGACGGTAGAGAAATATAGGACATACAATACGGAAATCATCAAACTGCTACACTACAACTACAACGTAGGACCAGGCACAAATATGCATCGGTCCTAGTTGCCATACCTCATTTTGCACAACGAGATGAACACCGAATTCATAGAAGTAGTTAATTTAATGGTGGTAATATATAAATGAGAGATTGTATATGAGGATATAGCACAGGAAGAAAGATATGAAGCAATTTTACTCTCGTAGTCTAACGGAAGACAGAGAGTGTATACACCTACACCATTGTGATCGATTCTGAGCCATGTCACCCAGAGTCTCCAAACGTTGGTTACGATAGTCACACGGACCCCGATCAAGTAGTCTGCATCTGCCAACATGGCTCAGACTGGAGGTTAGTGACTTCAAGCACTGATGCTACCTATTGCTTCGGCCGCCCCTAACTCTTCCAACCAACTCCAATACTGGTCAGCATTGCGTGTCGTGGTATTCGGTGTTCAGGCATACGTAACACGTGGCCCAATCATCTCAGTCGATGAATATTTATGACCTCATCAACTGATTTACCATCATCCTCTAATACTCTGCGTCTAACCTCATCGCTACTTACCCGGTAATCCCAGGAGATGCGAGCAATATTTCCAAGACATCTGTGGTCAAATACTAGTAGCTTACGAGTATCTTCCACTCGTAATGGCCACTTTTCGCAGCTGTAAAGTAAGTAAACAAAATCATCGAAAATGCCAAACTCACATTCAACGGGTTTTGGTCACAAGTGACTTATACTTGGAGATATTTACATACAAATTCATACGGAATACAAATATTTTACACTTGTGTTTTTGAGACGCGTGTAGATAAGGCATGAGAGTAGTGTCACTTTCAAAAGATTTTGAATGTTCTAGCTCCAAGGCATGCTCCAGAAAGACGTAAAGCGTTATCACAGAATTCTTTCTCATAGTGTCATCTGGTTATATCATATGAATACTTTAAATTTCATATCCGATAGTTTTGAATCTTGATTACTGAAACATGTATTTCTAAAAAACTAACAATTCGTTCCGAACCAAAGGCGTTAACTGTCAAACCTCCGCATTCTCAGAATACCGTTATTGCATGAAAGTGGTGAGAAGGACCTGACCTGCGAGCGTAGGTTATCTTTAGGCACTTGACATACCAAACTCAAAATTTTAGTCCAGTCTTTGAGTAAAAATTGTGGATCAGTCAAGACACTTAGTTAACACGCATATTCACAGGATTTTTGCTCATCTAAAACTGACTTATATCAAAAATTCATGAAGAATTTCCCTTCCAGTGGTCAGAAAGAAAGTACGATTAACTTAAAAAAAGACAAGAATTTCCGGGGTTATCACCTGATTATTTTACAATAATTTTATGGTTTGTAGTGGGTTTGTGACGTCACCCCTTCCCTAGAAGAGACCTGACTCACAAGATCAATCCAAAATGTAATGAGTAATAAGGGCACGACAACATCACACAAAGAATGTGTAAATGCAAGAATATAAGAAACTTTATACTTAAAAGTTTTGTGTTATGGTTATTCTTTGTCACTTTTGTGTTATACTATTTTCTTATGTTCTCCTCGGCTTTCGCAGCAAAATGGTTCTAGTGGTTGCTGAAAGACTGAAAAGAGCTTTCGTTTAACAAAACTTGTTTATTTTAAGTTGATCGCCGACACCAAACGATAGAGATGAAGCTTTATGAATCAAGTTTATGTAGAAAAAGTATTGGTAATCGAGTGTGAAATACGATTCTGTGTCTTTAGGAATATGTTAAATTTACTCTCAAAGGAGAATTTTGAAGTAAGGAGTAGGTTTCCGTATAGTCCAGTACATAGTGCAAAACCCAGACCAAGAGTTACCGTCAGCTCATAGCAAGAGCTAAACTAAACCTATTTCCCTGTGTTAGTGTCATAGTTAGTATGGATATGTAAAATTCACACCACAAAACATACCGACAAAAGGTATGATGGTCAGATTCATTAGATTATTTCAATCAGTTGACTTTTGTGGTATATTCTATTATATTGTTGTTAACTTGTCTATCCCTCCATCTGTAAATCTCGTTCCACGATTCTGCTGACCCATAAAAGTTCAAGATACGTTAAATAACTAACATGTTGGGCAGTATCGACTCATTTCAGTTCTAATGAAGATCAAACCAATCTGATGCTGTCCCGAACTTATTTAATTTAAATGCAATTGATGGATATCGCTGAAAGATTTTTGAGAGCACGTAAATGTAAAGTCCTAGAACGTTGACCAATATAACTTGCTTCACAAAAGCACTCAAACTGAAAAACACAATACCAGGTAGATGTTCCAGGTAAATTATCTTTCAGCCTCGATGTCACCACGTGGTTCTTCGGTGTTGAAAAATTTTTTGATTCTTCCTCATAATCTCCAGACCAATATTCTTCTTGCTGCATCCGCTCTGATATGTTAGAGCCTAAACTGGAATTTCTTATTTACCATTTGTATTTCGCCCAACCTAACCTTCGTGATCACACATTTATTAATACGTTTTTCAGGGTATCTGTTCTCCTTAAGTGTATTATTCAAGGCGTCTAGCTCTTTTTCAACCATATCCGTGAAAAATGTAGTATGTATTCGATAGCTAAGAGTTTTGGATTCTTCCATACTATGGAGGTACGAAAATAAGAAAATGTGTGTACTGCCCTGTTAAGGTATATTTTTCTCTTTAAATACCTTCTTGTTGATCCATCATCCCATTAGGTTAAGAGAACGTTTAAAAAGCTATTCTACCTGCGCTTTCCTCTCCAGACGTAAACTTAATGGCTTAGTGTACTTCAGTGAATTGCCTAAGAATACCTGATTGTGATGTACTGCTTTTATAAAGGGTTGTAGACCATCAACGTGTAAAGTAGTTCATAGTTATATTTGGGAGGTAGCAGTATATCGGGAAGTGTGTAACTTAAGCTGGCTAGATGTCATGAATTCTGCTGAGAACAGCTTATCTAATGGTTATCTGGTTCGGATGCATGACAGAACGCTTTTATTTAGGGCATGTCTTGTAAAAATAATGAGGTCAGGTTCGGTTACGAGAATTAACCTAACTATTTGTTTTAGGGACTTATTTGTCGTTATAGCCATATTAGGCTGGTTTTCTAATTAAGCGACTAAAGAATACGTGGAACAAAGAATTACTTTACGACATATTGATGTTTGTTCCCATATTTTACCGATATAATTTGTAACCAGAAAACAGAAAAGGTGGTAACAACGCCACAGGTATTCGGACTTTGACAGCACGTTAACTGGTAACACCTTCTTTAATCGAAATGTGCCAACCCAGTCAGATCAAGAGTCAGAAGCGAAGAGGTTCGAAGATATATTTGATAGGCTATCGATATATCGAAAAGTGATCAACCAACGCTGGCTAGAGGTCGTAGGAAACTTGAAGCACGCCGTACCCTAATGTGCTTTGGTGCGGATGAGTGACTGAGCGCCTCCAGCTAGATGAGTACATTACAACTAATGAGGTCAGCATCAAATGTCGAAGGCTTACAGAGCTATGGATTTTCGGGACTTATTTGCCGCCACAGTGATACTCTCACCTCCAGTTCATACGTTTAGAGACATATTAATAAAGAAATAATAAGAAACTTTGGAACCTTGACACCAAGCCCCAAGTGTGAAATCTTTGTCTTTGGTTTTCAATTTGCTTCTAAGCGAGGGAGTTTCGATATTTTCTAGGTTACTTCGATACTGGTTAACAGCTGCAAATGACAAATTGAATGCTGTGTAGTTTAAAGTTATGCAGAATGCTCACTTCATAGTTAGTCGTGCCACGTTTCGACGCTGCTTTAACTTGTCTACCAAACATTTATTTACTACGCCTTACTCTGTCAATAAAATCTGGATATCACGTCAAACTCGCATTGATTTATTCGACAGAAATCTCAGCTCTTTAGGTCCTAAGAGTAGTACCGATTCTCCAGGTGAGAAGATAAATGCTAAAGGTAACAAAAAATTATAATAACTAGTTGGTCAGTGGTTCCAAAGATTAAAACAAGCTTTTCTTACGATGATTCTGTCAAGTCTGTGAAATATATCACACCACTTAGAGCATTACGAGAATATATGCTGACAAAGCAGTACGTTTTCAACCCCACTCGAGTTTTGTGTTAATGCTTCAAGGGATTTAGACCAGTTACCACGGTATTACAGTCGAAGTCCGTATGGCAATGAAACTAAAACACTTGTTTTCCTCCGATCAGATGTAGAGCAAATGTAACTCATTTGAATATCTAATGTTTCACTCCAAGGGCTTACTCAAAGCACGGAAGCTATGATGATTTTGAGTTACGGCGGAAACTCATGAAGGATATGGAGCGAAGAACCAAAACAGGTAGGTACATAATTGATCTTCATGATCTCTCAGAATTCTTTAATTTAAGAAAGGCCTTAAAATACCTTCAGAGCTCAGTAGAAACCAAGGCGACTGGGACTTCGGTACGTCACTCCGTCGTTATTAATTAAGAACCAAGAAAAATGCTCAGTGTTCTTTATTGTTTTTTCTCTTATCCATAAACAAAGTGTCTACTTTACTCGAGAGTTCCTTGTGCTCTGCTTTCAGTTCTTAAGTGTACTTCGTATTTTTTGAGTTCGATCTAACTATCCTGGAGCGATTGCCTGGTAGTTAAGGCGTTCGGTTTAACCACTAAGTACCAGGTTGGAACCCTGCTTCACGTACTTCGAATTGTGCCACCGCTTAGTATCAGTACCCCTTGCACCTAAACTGTAGCTCTTAACCAGGTATCTGATGGATGAGTTAGCATCATCCTTATTTTTGTTAACCTAAAAGCGTTTGGCATTTGACTTCATAATCATAAGCCAATAGTAAATAACCCTCCACCAATAGATGACTTTACGTGTATTGTTTTAGATGTTTTCAAAAAACCCTGAAAAATCGAGTCACTTGTGATTCTATCACTTGCTTACCCCTTCCCTAACTCTATTCATTGTTATCTAAATGTCCTTTTAAAAAACCGCGAAACTACAAAATGTTGCATATTTGTAGTCATACTAGTTGCCAGCTTTGATAAATGAACATGATAGTTGTGTAAATCGGTATCTTAACCCTTCCAGCTATTGCCAAGGTCTTAGTAAAGGATATTACTTATTATAACTAAACTCAGACTCTTTTAAGGTAGTGTACAAACTCGATCTTAATTTATCAGATCTATTTCGCCCTTTGATCGAAATATCCCTGTTTCTATAATTACGCATTATTATGTAAGCGTAAATAGTATTTCCAAATACTTAATACTTTTTCTGTCACAGGTTTTTATGGATAAACGGAAAAGTTTGTTTACGTCGGGTCCTGGTCGTGTTGTTCTTTTCGCAATAGCAATGTGAGTTATTTAAATAATTCCGACTAGCTCGTTCGCTTACTGAATTTTGAAAGACTGCCTTAATTGTATCCCTAGCAGCCGCACTAACCTGTGATTGATTTTAAATGAGTCGTTTTAGAGACCATATGAAGATTTTCTTATTCTGGAACACATTTATTACCTATTAAGTGGTTTTTAAGTGTTGAAGGGTCTAAAATATACAGTCATTGGTTTTGGTGTACAATCGTGTCTACTTATCTTTCGTGCTACTGAGAATCACCAGCTAATAAGCCCTGGAGTTAGTGTTTAGTAGAATCGTTTATTGGTTCCTGAGTTTTTAAACTTTGATTGCTCAATGTGATCAAGATCTGTTGCTCATTCTACTATACTCTGTACTGTAACATAGTAGTGTCTGGAATAGAAGTAAAGCGAAAGTTTTCAAGTCATGAGGTATAAGATTTGTTCATAATTAGTGGCTGTTGTATCAAATTGTTGACAGTGTAAACTCAAGTATAGTCCTCAAAACACGTGAAGCGAAAGATTGTGACTCAATTGGATTTATTGTTCATTCCTTTGTAATTAGTAATCATAATATTTTCCCTAAAAATTATTTTACATCTTAACTTACCTTTCTGTCGTTTACTTACTGTTAGATATACAAGCTTATCAGTTATTTTTAATCGCTCGGAATAGTTTAATGTATTTTATTACCTTACAATGCAGAAACATCGGGCACAGAAGGGTACAATAAAATTTATTCTATTAAAAGGAAAGGTTATCTTGTGAATAAGTAGAAATACGACCTTATAAAAAAAGGAAAATAGTGGTAAGTAACAAAACAATCACATAGCTGAGATAGATTTCGTTAATATTACTGTTTATGAAGAATGCGATAGCTAACGGGTCCCATTGTATATGTAGCCATATCTATGGATTTTGACCACATGCAACTATTTTCATACCATTCTAATTAATACGGAGAATACGACCATATTTATCTTCGTTTAATAGAATATCTACCCTATGATATTTTTCATTGTGGTTTCACTTGTGTCATATCCAAACAAAGAATAAGTGAATGTTAACTTCTAAGAATTATTTATGGACTGTTAATACGTTTATTCCCATTTGATAACTATTAGGTAACTAGATTGTGTATATATTCGCATTCGTTTTATCATAAGCTTTCATTTGACCTATTAGCTATTATTATACAATTTACCATTCTTAATTTATGCTAAATTTATTAGCCAGAATCCCCCATACTCACAGCCATGTTTGGCTTAATCTTGTATAATAATTTTTTATTTTATGGTATTATGCGGTCTGATTGGCTTGCATATAAATCAAGCGTGTCTGAAATATACGATTCGTGCAGCGGAGGCTGATATTTCTGTTCTGGAATGAACGGGCTGAGCTAGGCGAGAAGCTATTATGCAGAGGACTAATAAGGACTCCAAGCTGACTCTAGGCTGTTCATGCTAGTTAGCAGATCACTGGTTTAGTTCAGGGACAAGGTCACATAATCCAGTTTTCCAATTGGCGATTTTGTCACGTGATATTTCACGGACCAGATGATATAACAACTTAATGTGGTGAACTAGGTTTCGTACTTCGTGTGGATAATTCGAATAGATGTATATGCTTTTTATTTGTCTCACGTGGTATCTTCCTCATCATAAACACAAGTGTGTCGTTAACATTTTTTTCATTTTCGCTCATAAAATTATAAAAAATCCCATTTTATCCAAACGTATTGAGAAATGTACTATTATTCTCGATTGTTTATGTTATCGGAGCTCGATGTTTATTTGGTGAACATTTTGAATTATTTGATATTACCTGTTTGAGGGTTAGCTTCCCTTTCTGTTAAAGTTTCCTTAGGCCACTGGTAGTCCACTTTAGACATTTCCTATCTTGTATTTATTTGTTTCCAACTATATCAATCAATTAGTAGTACAGTATATTCTAATGGAGTATTATATTTTATTTCCAATAGAAATGGTCTCAACGTCGCAGCAAAAGCCTTCGGTTGGTGGTATACTGGTTCTAAAAGCATGTTTTCTGAGATGATGCATTCGCTTGCGGATACGATGAATCAGGTACTCCTTTCTGTCTGTTCTCATTCTGTACATACCATGTGTCACTAGAATACTTATCATCAAATTTCAAAACTTTTATAGCGGCCATTACAAAACACAAGGGTTATATTTTGTGTATGATGCAGTCGAACTTAGTAACCAAGGAAAGGTATGTATACCGGTTTTTTAGATAAAACTTTGTTGCTTGTGATTCCTAGTTCCAAGTCAACATATATTAAATATTCGAACCCATGTTTGTGTCTTTTGTGACCAAAACCCGTTGAATGTGAATTTGGCGCGTGTTACCTCTCGTGGAGAAGAAACAGGCGGATGACCAGCATTCTCCATCCAACACTGTCCGAGGCAATCCTTTAGAGTTATAATTCATCCCTTTGATGTCTGCTTCCGATTCTCGACACAGTGCTCTCTGGCTTTCCTCTTTTCCGCTCCCCTTCAAGTGGTTGGGCTTGCCCATCGTTATGAACCAATCGAGCTATACTGACTGGAACAATCATTCTTCAAGGTCCTAACATGCCAGACAGGTTGGTTGAAGAGCGGTAAGACTGAAAGCACCAAACCCAAGGTCCGAAGGCGAAGTCGTACTGCTGACTGTACAGAGGTGTGACGGCAGTAAGGTGTTTCCTTCAGACAACCAGCGTAACAGCAATGCTGCCTTCCCATAAGGAGGGGTGGGGTTAGAAATGGTCGACCCTAAAAATGCACACTCCGCCTTATCGCACGAATATCCGTCTCCTACGGTAAGGTCCCAACAAGCACGGAGCTAACACAAAAATTACTCACAGTTAAGTCGTGTGTGACCGACCTCAAGCAGTTGTCCCTTGGGCACTGTGGCCACACTCTCAGGTCATCAAGACCACTTCTAATCCAATTTCATTTTCAGGTACCTCTAGAAGAACCCTTCCACGGTGTGGGCAACCGGGAAGTGATAACTGGTCTCATACCTATAACAGCACTCAAGATCACCGTATTCATAATCAGTCTTTTTCTTCACTTCCTATTATTCCTCCTACCTCGACTTTCAACACTAAACTTCCTCTTTTGACTTCCTCCTCAAATGTCATCATGGCCAACGATTCTAGTGATCAAAGCACTGTCCCAGGTTACTGAAACCTCACTCCAAAGTACAGATTGACGCCTTCAACGTACGCATCCTATATCAAATCGGCTAACAGACCTCCTTGGTTAAAACCTTAGAATCTCGTGCCATTGATGTATGCTGCCTCTGAAACACGCATACATACATAGTGTGGTCATTCACTTGACCTCTCCTCTCCAAAACGGAGAACCAACTAGATACACCCTCCGTGTATCTGGCGACCCGGTGGCTAGTCCTCGTGGACTTGCAGGTGCATAGAACTAAGTACGAGAGCAGAACAAGCACTATTAGAGTAGATCCACGTTAACAGTCGGCTATGTTCTGTTCTACTAAATGACTCCGTAAGAATTCGGAAGGATAGGAACCCAAGTCGTTGCCTTTTCGTTGTTTCTGCCTACGCTCCCACTAACTGCAGCCCGGATGAAATGAAAGATGACTTTTACAGAATCTCTTTAATAAACTTAATGCTGTCATGTAGTTTGTTGATGTTTTGCAAAGTTCGTTTTATGATGACAAATGTGTCATCTACGTACCTCAACCAGGTTTTTGGTGGATTAGGATTTTTGTAAATATAATTTTCCTCCTTAAAGCAATAAGATATGTCAAATTCATTTTATGGTGCGGTTGTTACTTTCATTTCGCTCTTCGAACTCGTTTAAACCAGCCAAGTTGAGAATGGGAGTAGAAGATTGTTCGGCTGATGGTAATGATTAAGCTATTGAATTCCTGCTTTGACTAAAGTATTATCGACTTCTATGGAGTGAAAATTTGGACCGACTTACAAACTTGATTAACCATGAGTGTTGTTGAAAATGATTAAAATGATGAAATACTTACAAACTGATTAGATGGCAAAGTATGTCATCTAAAAGAAATTGAATCATGAGGATCGCATTAACTTTTTTAAAAATATTTGACTATTAAATCTTGTGCTTATCTCTATACATATCGATGTCTATATTAAGCTTGAATTCCATTCAAACTTATTGTTTTGGACAATTTTCACAAGAATCTATAAGTATTTTGGTGTAAGTTATTTTTATAGTCGTGTGTTTAACAATAATATAAAAATACTTGGTGTAAGTAATTTGAAGTAACATTGCTGCAGTTGATTTTCTTTAGGCGTTATCTGGAACTTTTGTAATCTTATTTTCTTAGTATTCAGTTTTAACCGGAATTTTAGAAACAGTGGACCTAATTTGTACGTAACGGGCGAGTTTTCAGTCTTAATAAATTAAGATTTTAGTCTCAGAACCTTTAAAACCGTTTCTTCTCGTACATTTCAATTTTTGTTTAACAAATCATCCTTTTTTTCAAGTCTCACAGGCATAAGCTTCATGAGTCTTATATTCCACTGATTGTCTGTGGATTCTTTTTAAGTTTCAATTACTTATAAATGTTTCACGTCAATTCTTTGATATCAAACAGTCTTCGTTTATTGTTAATTGGTACAACAGAAAAGTTAATTGAGTGACTCATAATTACTGTCTTCTCCTAACCTTCTAGGTTCTCGTTGCTTATGGTCTATATTCATCACTTCAGAAACCAGATGAAACGCACCCGTAAGCTTTTTTATTCTATTCGTGTTGCTTTACATATGTAATTTTATTGGTTACTATGTATTTCCATTACTTGGTCTTATGTGAATTAGCTTTATGCATGCTTTAATCTTTAGATATCATTAGTATTTAAACTGTTTAACAATAGGATATACTTTAATGTAACTTTTTTATTTGTACTTTGTTAGAAGTAATGTTTTTCAGTATTAACTCATACAGCTTATTGAGTACGTCACCTTTTTACTATTTGCTCACAGACGCAGTTTGATCATGTATTCCTCTTTACTTAGGTGTAGATGCTGTTTCTAGTTGTGACAAATCGCGAACGATAAATCCATCAAAGAGAATCTCAAAAGGGTATATATAATTAATAACAATCTAACACAAATATACATAAATGTGGATTATCAAGGACTTTCCTGTTCGCCAGAACTACAATGTACTAACAGAAGTAAAAAACCAGAGAATTTAAGGCCTTCCTAGGAAAAAATTTCACATTGGCTTATCGAGTATGACTACAAAGAAGTGTAGATAGTAATACCAATAATGGTTAAAATACTGCAAGTAAAAAGAAATAGTTAGGAGAAATGGATTCATTCGAGGAATGAAAATTGAATAAATTTGCCAAGTTCAATCCTTAGGGATGAATAAGTAAGAAATCTATCTGCTTCATCGCTACCGTGGTTGTATCCATCTGGTTCGTAATCTCCTTGTTCACAGTTAGACCATATAGCTATCAGGAGAATAAATATCAACTATTTGTGTTTTTATTCATTTAAGCAAAGAAAACTATTGCTGTCCTAATTATTATGGGATTGTTTCATTTTGAAGTAATCGGAATCTAGGTGCATTAGTATGAATTTCCGTTAACTTATAGAACTGTAGCAAAGTGTGGAATGCAGAGAATAGAGCAAAGGCAATTAACGCTGTTTATCAATGTATCTATACTTCAAAATTGTTATATTCTAGTGAAGAAATAAGTACGGGTAACTTCGGGGACCTATTAATGGGCTATTATTCTATATATATTCTTATTGTATAACTATTGAGCAATTAGATTGTGTATATCTATATTCATCTTATTATAAGCTTCATTTTGACCCATAGATTATTATTATACTATTTACTGCCCCTAAATTGATTACTGTCTCTCATGTTTACAGCAACATTTGGTTCGATCTTGTACAAATATTATTTTCTATTTTATGGTGTGATGCGGTCTGTTTGTCTGGTACATAAACCAAGTATGTTTGAAATAAATGATTCGCACAGCCGAAGCTGTAATTGGTGTTCTGGACTCAACTGGAAGGGCTAGGTGGACAAGGGACCAATAAAGATGCTAGGTTGCTCATACTGTTCGAACGTCATTTCTTTGGCAGTGCTAAGATTGGATAAGTTATATTCCGATTGGTGAATAATTCACGTGATAAAAAGCCGGACATAAAACCACAACAAAAATAACAATTGGTTCTCATGTACCGAAGTTGTTTGACCACCCATTATTATTTGTACATTTTAGCTATTTCAAAAAAGTACTATCACTGTATGGTTAAAATTATCAAGTTTGCTCACCAAATAGTTTCTTAAATATAATAGTGGCAGTATTACACTATAAAAAGTATTAACCTACTTTGTTGCAATATAGAAGTACATGTCTTATTTTTATTTATTTCTCTGTGATTAACCGCTAACGAATATTACGAAACAAATTGTGTTAAAATGTGATTGTTGATCTATTTATTTGCGATAGTGTAATAAGAGGACGAAGATTATCAGAACTATGTGATGTATTAGCGCAATACATTTCGAACAGCCTGATCACACATATACTTGTTAAGAACATGTACCAAAATGGTTGCAGAAACAAATATAATCAAATCACCTGATAAGAGTAGAGAATAAACATCCATCATCCTCTATTGTCAAACATATGATCGAAACAGGCCATTAGATTAAATTCACTTGGTATTATTTGTTTGAATCTTTCCATTGATATTTAGAACTGCAACTAGTCAGTCTCTTATTGGTATATGTGCGTATTGCCTCGATATAGTCTTGAGATATTGCAGTTTCATTTAAAAGTCTTTTTTTTTGTTTGGTTTGATTTTCCTTTTGAATACCATTGATTTCAACAAATTATTTTACTTGATTATTAGGTACGGTTATATTCCAATGCGTAATGTATCCTCGTTGATAAGTGGTGTTGCTATTTTTTTCTTGGGAGCTGGTCTTACATTTTATCATAGTGTCCAGGGTATTTTGGAACCACACGAATTTGAATCTGTTAATCTGGTAATTAGTTTTGTTAATGTTTTATTCTTACAATAAATAAATGATTAAGAAATGTTTAATAGGATTTAAACTCAGTAATTTTAGTTTTACTTATGCTTCAGCTACATGAACGATCTGATGAGAAAATTTGTCTGTCTTTCCAATGGTCCTTATCATTATATATTAATATATTTATATTATTAGTTCCTAATTAACATATATTGGTGAATAAGAACATTCTTGTGAATATTACTCAGTTGCAAAATATGATAGAAGTAGAGACATTTTCAAGAGTATGATTCAGCAAAATGTTCCTGTACATGTAAATTCAAGAAAATTAAAGGTTATGTAATATAAAAGGGACTAAGTATAAGGTCATCGGTATTCCTGATTACTCGCTATAAATTACATCAAAACAAAATCTAAGACTCACTGTCTCGAATCCACTGCATATTGTAAGGTAAGGATATTACTGAACTAACTTCTATTGTGATATGCTATACAAAAAGTTGCTTTTAAATGCGACTACAAATGAGACCTCAAATAACGCTACCATTGTAGCCATGAATTCAACTGGGATATAAAATCAAATATGTTTAATTTTGACCGAGCATGTGCTAAAAACTGAACATTTAAAGTGCAGTTATGGATGCCAGAATTGATCTTTGTGGCATCCTAATCGAGCATCACATGTTATATTTGATTGACAGTTACACTCAAACTCTCCATTTGTGATACTTATGCAATCTTCAAGAGCTATTGAAGGTAGAACATGTATTTCTGTACTGCCAAGCAATGAGATCATTTTCCTATGTTTTGTATACTTGAAGAAAGAACAGAATATATGTCTTCACAATCATTTTACACTAGCACTGAAAAATACTAAAGCTACCTAACATTTTGTCCATATACAGTTCGTAAACCGACAACTGTATAAATGCACTCACGCTTTTTTGTATTTTAAAGGAGCGTGACTCAAAGAGAATGAGATTTGCGAAGAACTTTTTCTATGTTCACAGCTGAGTTGGAAAATACCATCAAATTAATTGCATTGTCTATGAGTTAACCCATGTTTTTACAAATTAGAATACTTTAAAAATTACCAATCACTTATCCCTGCATTAATTTATGTCTGTCTCGTATTTTCCTTATATAGGCTTTAATGGTCATGCTAGGTTCGCTTTTATCCGAAGGGAGTAAGTTGTTTTTAGACAATCATTTATGATCATACATGATATGATTAAGTTTTCACAAAATTAGCATTCTATTAATCCCAAGAATGAGGCGTTTTATTCATAAAAGCAGTAAGACATAAACTATGTTAGGGATGTAGTTGTGCAAAAAAGAATTCTTTTAATCTACACCACCTTCATATTTTCTCCATTGTAATCTACGGTTTGATTTACTGAGACATTCGAATTGAATGGAAACAGTTTTATGTTTGATCCTATTTAATTTTCGATTTATAAAGTTTCAATAACTTAATCAGGTATGGTATGTTGAAAGGCATTCATTTTTCAAACTATTGGAACTCATACGACTTCTTCTCAGTGACTTTATGTGTAGTTCATATTGATATTAATCTCTAAATCAAAGTTCTACTACATACCATAGCATATTCAATCCTCTTCTAGAGCATTCAAATCCAACTAAAATGAAAAGGAAAAGAACTAATCATTTTTGATACTGTTTTTTTTTGACATTTTATCAGTATGAGTTGAGTGAGGGTGTTAAGTACTTATAATGTGTCCAACTGTTTGTACGAAAACTACTTAATTAAGGTTCGAAACTGATAAGGTTATGAGATGGAAAGTAATATACGCGTTGGTGAAATTAACTGAAAAAACGTTATTTGATATTATTTTCAAAAAAGCTACGGTGGTACAAGCCCCCGGATGTCCTGGTACGGCCGAAAGTGGGGCGAGTCCGCTCTCCCTCTCGAAATGCTCTCACATGGCCAGCGAATATATAGCCTCTTCCAGGGAAGTCCTAATCACTGCCTTCTCGTGGCGGAGGTGTTGTTTACGAAATTGAGAGGACGAAAAGCGAATGTCCGGTGCTTTAACTGGGTTGGTGGACATGGAAAGTTCACCTAGGGGAGTTGGAAAACCCTGATTCCAAACCAATGGTGCACATGGGCTTCAGCATCCTGAAGGAACGAATGGCGTATGAACCAATCGTTGGTCACCGGCTACCATGGGACTGCATCTCCTTACAATGCTCCACTGCCATGTGGATGAGACCTTTAGGTCAAAGACTCCGAGTGTGGTCTTCTAAGAAAACCACCTGCTGTAGTTTGGGCACCTGGGCAGTATCACAGCCCTCACACAAATTTAATGAGATTTGTGAGGCGCATAATTATCTGGTGCTTTTTTGTACCAATATTTATGTGTTTAAATAAATAAATAAAAACGGTGGTACATACGATGTGCTTTGGTACTATGTTTACTTGATAGGTGATTATCGTTATGACATTTCTAGAGGCCATAGTATATTTCAAATTTGAAAATTTCAATCCATGTCATGTTTAGCAGGTTTTTTCTCACTTTTTCTCTACCATTTTAATTTATTTTGAAATTACCGCAACTTTTCTTTAGGCACCTTGGCTTTGGCTTATCGTGAAGCTAAAAGAAGTTCAAAACGTCAAAACTTCTATTCTGTTAGACATTGGTTGTTTTCCGGAGTTGATCCAAGTACTAGTATGGTTTTATTAGAAGATTTGGCTGCAGTCATTGGTGTTGTTGTGGCAGGGTCCGCTATGGCCGTAACTGCTTTCACTGGACATGTCTTACCTGATGCAATTGGAGGGATTTGTGTTAGTGCAATTCTCGCTGCAGTGGCTGGTCTGATCATACATACGAATACTGAAATGTTAATAGGAAGGTAGGTTGTATTATTTTGGTTGATAGTAGAAAAAACTTCACTGCTTGACACATATTTCTTTCAATTATTGTTTATTGACCTTTTATCCAATCTACACATGAATTTATGTAACTATTTGTAAAATTAAACCATCTAAAATGCTTAATACGTCATCTCATATTTCTGATAAATTTTGTCTCATCATTGGACCTAAATTTAATCATATAAGTGTAAGGTAATTGTTTCAAATATTTTCTTTATTAATAGTCTTTCTGTTGAAGTTTTGCTGTAAAAGCAACTACGATCAGTAGTTTGCGCTAAATTATTGTTATGTTAATCCTAGTCATTTTTCATTGTTCATTTGATTTTTAGGAGTTTCTATGTTTAATGTTATCTTAGTTACCAATCACATACCAGTTTAATATCCTTCTAGAGCACTCAGATTCTGAAGTATATTTAAACTAATTATTGGTTATTTAGAGTTCTGTTCACAGTTGTTACGTTACAGACTAATTTTGGATTTCTTGGTAACAAATGTGAATAAATATGGCCGTATTACAAACCGAACTACCGTAATAAGCTTTAAAAATGTTTAACACAGTAGTCTGTTAAGTTCTTATGTTTTCGGCTCTTAGTATGCGTTTACAATTTCGTTAATTTAATATTTACTTCATTTTCTCTCCTCACATTTGCATGTGTTTCTCGACTGTTCCGAGAGTGTTCAGAATACGCTGACTAAATGGAAGGGTTAATGACTTCATTATTTCCTACCTTTTGTTCGTTTTATCTGTCTTATTTAACTAATATAGGTAATAGTTTAGACTTTTAATTGTCCTTTAAATTGAGACTAGATTTCCTTTACATCTGTTTCTTTATATTCGTTAACTGTGAACAGAGCTATTCCAGTTGAAAATCAAGAAGCAATTATGCGTGTGATGGACAACATAAAAATTATTCGCGGAACATACGATATAAAAACAACTATGATCGGTGGTGAAGAAATACGATTCAAAGCAGAAGTTGATATTGATGGTCGAGAACTTACTAAACGTTACCTAGAAACCTTATCATTAGATGATCTTCTTCAGGTAAGCATATTAATCAATAGACAACTAAATATTAATTACTTTTGAAAGAATTTGTACTTCCGTTGATTTTCGAATGCTTTAAGCTTTTCTTATTTTTGATACATTTTATTATCTAAACCTGGAGGTGCCATATTCAGCCTATATTAAATATTCCAATGATTGAATATTGTTTTAAATAGTGACTAGTAGGTTTTGTGTTTCAATTTTCGTCACTTTGTACATCATTGTTTGTCGAGTGATTAATTAATAGAAAAGTTGTTCTAACTCTTTAGTAAGCATTTTACAAGAGGCACGTTTTTTTGCATAAACATATTAATGCTGCTTTCCTGTCCACTCAATACCTATGCATTATCAGTAATTTCTTACACTGAGTGGTTAAATAAAAGGATTGTTGTAGTAATCCAACATCACAAAATTATACTCTTGAAGTATTCCAAAGAAAACACAGGCCTCGAAAGTGGGTATACAATCTAACCATTTTAACATCAGTAAGCAACCAAAGAATGGTCTAGACCTACTAACAGTAACTCTCTTTTAAAATAATAATAATAATGCTATCTCGTGAATGAAATTTGTATGAGTTGAATGAGTTCATTTTTATTTATCCTTTAGCGACTGTCTGTTTTATAGTAACTAATTTCTTTTCAGATACTTTCTGATCACTTTACAGTGTAAGACGTAAATTAAAAACACCAAATTATTTTCTGTTAGTTATCAGTTCAAAGAAAATAGGCTAAAACAGCTCAAGTATGACATTCATTTTTGTTGTACTATTCTGTTACACGTTTATTTAAATTACTTAGTTTATTTCTTAGAGGCAATAGGAGTTTTTTTCATATATTGTTCTACATCTTTCTCTCTACTTTTTATGCTCGAGGTTTATTTATGTGTTTTGTTTCCTTCGCCATGATATTTTGTCTTATTGTTACCATGGACGTTAGATTGGGATATCTTCAAGTTGTTTCAGCTTGTTTTCCTTCTTGTTAGAGGAAGCAAATTTATTCATTACCTTGAAACAACAGTCATCATATTCCAGAAGATTCCTTCTACTTCGTTAAAACGCAGATTTCCATTTCGTTATGTCGACATTCATAATTTTATGTCCGTCTAAATTCCAAAGGATCTGATTGACGCTACTCAGTTTTACTTTTGCTTTATAAATTTATAGGAGGTGAAAAATGTCAAAACTGAACAACAACTGGCTCATTTTATGTTGAAACATGGTGATAATTTAGTGAATACACTAGGCGCAGAAATTAATAAAATTGAAGAAAAAATTAAGGTAATCCAGTTTTCTATAATTATCACTAATTTTGAAGCAACCTTCGTCACTGACTGACGTCAGATAGGGAACCGTTACAGACCATAATGGGCTATATCTGTTAGGTTTGTTACTCACCACAAAGAAGCCCATCCACAATCCAGTATCTAGAATTGGATCGTCGATATGAAGCATGTACGTGTGAAAGTTACAAACTAATGAAGACAAGTGGTCTTTGCTTTGTATTACAAATTGTATGAGGTTACTGTGAAGACCATACAGGGAGATACGCCAACGAATTTAACACACCCAAGAGCAAACATAAAAAAGCGTAGTTTATAAATAATTAGCAGCTCCTTTTGGAGTGATTCATTTAGATCTTGAGTGCAGTTCCTAATGACAATATTTCAAGATATTCAACTGATAAGTCATGAATTGCAGTAAAAATATGGTTTTATAACTTAATGAAATTAATATCATTAAAGAATTGACTGACGAGATATAAATGTTGTTCACATCTGTAAATTTCCACAACCATTTTTTAATCGAAATTTGTGAATTCAAATCATCTCTGAGCGTAAACAGACCGGTATCTATCTGTTTCCATCCTCTACGATCAGATATGTCCTGGTACCTCTTTGTACTTCCTGGTTGATTGTGTTGCTAAATCACTAAAGTTAGTTACTGTACTTTTACTTCATTTTGGCTATTTTTGTTTTTGAGCAATAACGAATTTTCAGGTACTTGATTGTAGGACATCAATGATCTGACGAGTTTATATCACTACTTCAACATTCGTTCGTTTAAAGATCTTCCACAACAGAACTGTGGGCGTCCCATGAAATATATTGAAAATCTGGTTGTCTTTAAAATAATTTGCTGATATTTTTTCCCTATGGTGACTTCATTAAGCTATCAAATCCAAGCTGCAGTGTCTTTGAGTGTCGTAAAAGCTAGTCCTTCCAGCTGACAGATGAAAAGTACAGACCAGTATATGCTTACTTTTAATAGGTTAAATAGTATGCGTCTGACTTCAAATCCATCAAATATCATGACTGATTCCGAATGCTTGATTTTGTTACCATTTTCGGGAGTGTATCCAAATGCAGTACAATAAAGTTGTTCATAATTGTAAAATAATTGTATTTTCGTGTTTATCCCAACTTAGCAAGAGACGTAAACTACAGCAATGAGAAAGTCTTCAATAGCATTATAAGGCATGTAACTTTTGCTTTTCAAATTCATCAATTGGAAGTATTATATTTTGGACCGGTCACATATATCGTGGCCAAATTTTGTGGTCAAAGTCATCTTTCTATATAGAATATGAAAAGAAAAACAAAAGTGACTGATTGTTTAAAAGATACCTAGAATGATAGACCCAGAAGCGCGTACGCTGTTGCAACTCAGTAGTTGTAGATGTTTTAAAATAATTGACAATTTAAGACAAAAAATATCTACAAAGTGGCCAGTTATTTACGCATTCATAAGTAAACTCTTTTTTTCATAAGGCTGTCACTATGCACTTGTTTTTTATTTAAACCACGTTTAGAAAGTCAATCGAATTTAACTAATAGACGGCAAACGTCTACTAATCTACTGTTTGTATTCCATTTTTTTAGAAGGAATTCCCTAATGTAACTCATATCGACATTGAGATTAACTAAACACTGGATTTTCGATTTATTATCACCATTCATTTTGCGGACTACCCTTACCGTATATTTCTGGCTTTTCTGTGATTTGAAATCCATATCCCATTATGTATAGTAATCTGAAAATACATGTACACAAAAACAGACTCAGCAAAGTTTTCTACGACGCTTTAAATTTTTTTCTGAAAAGTATGTTTAGTATACATGCAGTCTGTATTGCCTCGGTGCTATCAGCACAAAACCTTTCGTGATAACGATAACAGTACGTACAATGTTCGCCACAAGAATCCAGTTTGTAATTTGAATTTCAAGTTATGATCGAAATTGGTAAGATAGTCTTTCGTTGCGTTTGGCTTTCCCATTGTCTCCTGTAAGCTATCTGTTTGCAACGGCACTTCGCAATCGTCAAAGCCTTAGAGCCAGTAATAAGGTCTGTTCAGCTGGCTCTAGTTCCAAACCTAACTAATACTAGAGTCGAACTTGTGGGAGTTGTTTAAGTCAGGTGAGCATTGGAGACAGTCTGTACACAGACACACTTCTTATTCGTTTCGGAGTATATCCACTAATTATCATGACGGCTGATTATCGATCACATCCTCATACGCTCAGTTATTACTTAGTGGTGATTCTCCGTCTTTACATTAGCTACCCATCACTGCCTGGTTACCTTTATTCGGTCATATTAGTTGCTGATGCTCCTTATTGTCCACTGAAATAGAGAATCAAAAACTGTTGGAAATTGTCAGGCCAACGTGGGTAGCGATCAGTCAGCTGTTGGTATAAAGATTTCATAGGCATTTATGACTGACAACGCTTCTATCCGTAACACCATAATCACAGATTGTCAAGTGTGAAGTATTTCAAAGTTAGATTACGGTGTCAGCAGTATGTCGGGAGGTATGTAACTTAGGCTGATTAGTTGTCGTGAGGCATGCTTATCACAGCGTATCTAGTGGTTATGCGAAAGCTTTCAGCTGAGGTGCTTCTTATAAAACTAGTGAGACCAGGTTTATTTAGTATAATCGTCGGACTGTTAAACTGTTATCTCGTGAAAACATTTTAGAGCAAGCCAGTGAGATCACATCATCTAAGCGGAAATAATGTCGAATCAACGTTTAATAGTGTGCTAATCACAATAAATACCAGTTATGAGGATGTCAATAAGAAACAGACATTTCTTCGATTTTTGAGGGAGATACATCAAAAGTTATAGACAAGTGTGTTCGTATCTATTGCTGAGAAACATTGCCAATTCACTCCATATATCTAGGCGTTGATAAGATTTGTAGCTCAGGTGGGTGGTTTTTGCAGAGCTAGATGGTTTGATCGTGGAGCTTTAATTGTTATTCTGAACGTTATCATCAGCACAGACTCCAGAAAGTAGTGAAGTGTTTGAATTCCTCCACACACAACTCAGCGTGTCCTGTAGACCGTCTTGGTTGATTATTGTTGACACTTAACCCACCATTAACTGCCTCTTTATCTTGGTCGTATCTCTCTTTTAATCTGATCCTTAGTCCTAACTTTGTCCATGATTTGTCTAATTGATTGTTTGGGTCGATTTTGTTGTGTTTGTCGATCGCTAATTGATCTCAACGCCAAGCTTCTAAGAATTATCTGTTATGTTCAAGATCTCGAAATTTTCCCAGTTGAATGTGTCCACGTGCATTGATATAAACGATGGTAAGTCATGCTGTTTGACCGTTCGTTGGTGTTTGTATGGGAGTAGGTAGAGAGGCTGTGCACTTTGTCCCGTTTAGTATTTTTCGCAGTTGGAACGATTTATTTTCTAGATAATGTTCGGTTATTCTTAAATCGTTTCATCTTTTCTGTTTAAAAGGATTGATCAAAGTGATTTCCGTGGTTTGTGTGCTACCCTTATTCCAAAAAGCTTTAATAATCTCGTAATTTCTGTCGTTTATGTTTGGTAGGACGATCGGTTTGTTGGTTTGTGTGCTTGATTTTGTTCCACTGATGTGTCTGTCTTCAGTAATATGGATAGTAGGTTGGTTAACCTGTGTTATGCCTGGCAGATTTTCTCCCAGTGAAAGTCCAACTTCTTCTTGAAAATGTTCACTGATGGTGCTGATACCACTTGTTCTGGTGATGCGTTCCAGTCATTGACCACTCGATGAGAAAAAGGGCACCCCAACTTCAGTTTATTAAATCGCGGTTTGTTAACCTTCTTGCTATGACCCCGAAGATTATCAGTGTTGGAGGGAGCAAAAAGATAAGACATATTAACACCCAAATCATAATGTCACCTCGCGTCCTACGATAAAACAACGAGGAAATGTTTAGGCGTTTTAAGCGCTCATCGTAAGGTAGTTTAGAAAGACCCTTCACTAATTTTGTTCTCACATGCTGATTACGCTCAAACGAGTTAGTATCCTTTATCAGACGTGGGCCAGCTGCTTGGATACAGTACTCTAAGTGTAGTCCTACGTAGGTGGTATATAAGATTCGGAACAACTCAGCAAAGTGACCATAAGATACGATAAGCTTTGACAGCTGCGGCGTTGCGGTGCGTAGTTTTTTACAAATCGTGACTTATTATTTCCCCTAAGTCTTTGTGTTCTTGAACGCGTCGAAGAGATGTACTACCAATAGTACAATGGTAACCATTACCGTGTCCGTTATGCATGAGCACGCTCATCATGAAATTAATTTTTAAGCCCTAATTATGAGCCCATCTAACTAATCCGTCTAAGTCAATTTAATGGCCGGAATGATCAACCTCACTTCCTATTGTTCTCCAGATTTTGACATCTTCCGCAGACAGTAGTGTCAACGACCTAAGCAATAGCTGTAATTCAATGATGTAGATGAAAAGTAGAGGGTCTAAGATGATGCTTTAGTGTACACCACTTTTGACCGGCTTCCATTCGGATAGCGTTCCACTAACCCTCACTCTCCTGTGGTCATATAAGGAGTATCCTATCCACTCATGTAAAGCTCGAGTGCTTCTGCATAAGACCTGAATATGAAAACTTGTCAGACGCTTTGCTAAAATCCATGAATATCACATCGACAGACAGGCTGTTATCTAGGGCTACTGTCCAATTCCCTCTCGCAATAAGTATGTTAGTCAGGCGTGAATGCTTGTTAGGAAACCCATGTCGTTCGTGAGTTAACAGATTGTAGGGATCTATGTGACTTAGTAGCTTAACCCGGATTATCGTTTAAAATAAATTAACGACTGTGTTGGTTAGCCTGACTGGCCGGTAGTTAGATACGATCCGTCTTTGACCATCCTTTGAATACAGGACTAACTATAGCGTCTTTTCAGTCGCGAGCGGTCTTGAAATAATGTCCTCAAGCGATGACAACAAGTGTGGATGTACCCATCGGGGCCTGGTATCTTACAAATTTTGGGGTTAGTTATCAATGGATGAACAGTTTACGCGGTCACATGTAGAGATCCTATGCCTGGTATCTCAATGTAGTTGGGACAAGTATTTGTAACACTACACGTAGAGCAGATATCACTAAAATAATTCCGAAAAGTCTCAGCTTTCACTAGATCAGATTCAGCTAGTAAACCTGAATTTTCGTGTAACGGTAACTTAGTTCGAACATTTTGTCCCGTAACTACGGGCATTCGTATAGCCCACATTTAAGGTGTTTTGAGAACCGTACGTTCTACCGATATAGGTCTCGAAAGCATTGGCTTTGAAGAACTGACTACCCGAAAACCGTTTATCGTAAGGTTCGTTTCGCAATTCACATTTCGAGTTCTTAAATCCGTAAGAGCATTCTTTCACTTGACCCAGTCTTATAGAGTCCAATTTGGTCGAATATGAATTTTTGAATCACGAGTTTTGTGTGCGTAATCCAATATTACTTCTGTTTCCTTGAAATTACCGAGGAATAACTTCAAGATCCTTCTTTGCTGGGAAGCGCCTCCAACTTATTTACCTAATTATATTACTTTCGTGATATGTTGGCATTTTTTGATGAAATTGGTTGAATAGGCATTCTTGTGAATGACAGTCATCAGATATTTTAAGTTATCTTTCCTCGTTGCGGCGTGTTGAAGTGTGACCTAACCCTCTTGAAGAAATTTTGTTCTCAGTTGATTTTACAAGCTATTGGATTGCTGCTACTGTAATTGAGGATTTGATATGTGTAAGTCAGCTTCCGATATATTTGAGCATCCAGTATTCCTTTGCCGGTTCTAGAGACTTGTACACGAATGAATGGAATGATGTTGTTCAACTCCAATTCCATTGGAAACGTGAAGTCATCAAAAACATTTTGAAACTGGTTGTAGGCGTTTTCCAGCTCATTCTTTTTCACGATACCGAATGTGTCTTCTTGCGATATTTGAGAGTATTTGAATTATGGTAAAACTAGTAATCCCAGCAATTAATTATTTCATGAAGTATTAGATGAAGGAATGTATTGTATTTGGTATTCAAAATCAAGCAGTCATCAATAAAAAAGAATCATTGGTTCATTCAAAAAACCACATCCTCCACAACTTGAATGATAATCCAGATATCTGTGATCAATCGTACCTCTTCTCTTTAGGTTCATCCCATGTCTGCTCGACTGTGTAATAGACATAGACTCTGTACGATCTACAATACACTCACTAGTATTAGAATTAACAACCGAAATTAGACAAGGCTCACGTGGCTCCTGTAATTGCGTACAATCATCATGTCGGTTGTGTAGTGAAATCACTGATATCTAGAATTTTCAACGTGGACTTTTCAACAATATTCTCTACCACGAAATAATTTTGGATTCTTACGTTGTAGATGGCGTCGGGTCGTGGATGAATGTGATCACCACTACAGGAACATTACGTCCAAGGCATCTACTAGGATCCCTCGGTAGGCCAAATCCAGAATACTGGTAATGGTCGCAATAAGATATATTTTTTGGCGGTCTCGTGATATCGAAAGAATACCGAGACGCGCCGAAGTTTGCAGGCGGAACTGACGAGCGTAAGCGCTTTCGTGCAAGGTCACAGGCGTCGGAAACAATGTCTTTGTTACAGTTAAACAAACAAGTACAGTCAAACAACCACTGGTACAACTGGTTGTAATAATAATTGTTTCCATTAAACTAATCGCGTTCTCATCACAAAAGAAGGTCACTACAACGTCTCAATGTCATAACCTATTTGACGTTCCTAATCTGTATTATTTTCTTATATCTCACACTTTCATCACAATCTATGTATTTGTGGATAAACACTGACACGTAATTTGAGGCATTCCATCATGTAACTTTGACTTGCATAAAAATTATGATGCATATTCCTAATGTTATTCATATTAAAATACACAGATAAATAAGTAATTAGCCCATGCGATTCATCTATGCTTTATTTACCTGTGAAACAATCAAATAGAAAACATGAATCAGTCTCATACTCATTAGGATAATCTTCGATTCTATCTGAATTTTCTGCCTGTGCAAACTCCATATCTGGGAAAACTGGTTCCCTGATTGCTTCGGGAAAAATTGTTATTCCCTCTGATTCATCATACCATGGACTAGAGATTCTACTCCACATACATTGGTTTGGGGAGTATCAACCATCTAATACAATAACATCAGAAGTGTGACTACAATTCGACTCATTTGGTATACGTTTGTCACATGCATTAGGAATCTCACTAGGGATAAATCCATTGTGATGACCACCGACATGTGATATGAAATTAGAATTTGATATTTCTGAAAAATGTCCCTCAAATTTACTATGATTTTCATTAGAGAATAGTCGATAATTAGAAAAATCAACATCTATCAAAACTGAATCCCGTTTTTGATTGTAATTTTACTCATCCAACATATCATTCTCAGAGTTGTAATATAAGTGATCATTAGAAAGATCCAACAGGTTGGATTTCAAATTTTAGCATTATTTTCACTAAAATGAACCACGACATTACAAACTAACTGAATATGTCCAGTTTTACCACATTTAAAGCATTTAGAATTACGAAATACACATGAATTACATGAGTGAAACATGACGCAGAACAAGCATTTACCGAACTTCTGCTTACCTTCGTGAACTGTTTCACACTTTGATGGATTGTTATCTGAATAACTTTGATTTCACATTGGACTGAGACGACGTAGTAAAGAAACGGAATTCCTGTTGTCCTGGCGAGTCATTTCAGTGGATTTTTTTCCTTACCCGCATTTGAAATGAAATAATTTAAATGGTCCAGCAATATTTGTTTGATAGTTGCATAAGGGAGTGAAATCGGTTTGTCTGAAAGTGCCAAAGTCTTTATAAGGCTGTGTGCTTCTTTTCCAATGAATGTAAGGAAATGGGTCACAATATTAAAATGCTCATCATATTCCTTGGTCATTGCCCAGATTTCGAACGTTTCCTTGTAATCCTCAAAAGCATTATAACCTGAATTTATATCCAACCATTCCATCACAGGCTCCATCACGACGCCAATGTGATAATTAAAAGTATTTGAGTTATAGTAAAAACTAGTAATCTCAGCAATTACTTAATTTAATCATGAAATATTAGATGAACAGGAACCAATGTATTGTATTTAAAATTCAAAATCAAACAGTTATCACTGGTTCATTCAAACGCCATAATTTTATAGATCAAATCTAAATTTTCGGCTTGATTATGATAAACGATAAATCTGTGGGACCAAGTGTTGGACATTGACAACATCCTCACTATGGTTACATTGCAACTTTTTGAGTTCAGGGTCATTATGTGATACAAAATATGTAATATTGTTTGCAAAATATTTCTTGAACATAAAGAACAACTATATCTCATGAATTATGAACGCTTTAGTTTCACGAAATTAGAGAGGTCGGAATCATATCTGCTTGGTGGAGAAGCTGTATATTTCTATACGGTCAGTTAGGGAAGCTAGATTTATGTCTTACATACTAAATTACGTACTTCCTCTCCCAGTTAGTCCTCAATCAGAAAAGGTGCTATCAGTCATACGTCTGATAATCTACTTTCTCAAATAGCTCTTTAACCAGCAGAAGGGTACTCGATAACCAAGTTATGTTATAAACATCCTAATAAACTGTCATTAAAGTATCTGTGAACTAAAACCCTTATTTCTTGTTGTAGCACTTTTGTTTTCAAATGTTGAAAAGTATTTGAAATTCACAATACTTCCGGTCTATTTTAAAAAAAATATAATCGATTTCGGGGGAGCGTGGATAGGATAAGGCTATTGAAGGCGGAGACTGATAATTCATGGGCGAGTACGTAGTTGTCGAGCATTTTTAAAGCTACACAATTAGAGGGCTGCATTCGCTTCCGCAGAGAATGTTACAGGCAGTGCCCGGACTAGTCTGGGCTATATGAGATTTGTGATCTTACCTATTTATTGGTTTTTCGACACGCTGTTCGTTGTAGGTAGCCTCGTGAAGTTCAGTGCTGACATCGGGGTTGCATGTTTTTATCTGTGTTCTCATGAGGCTTAGTATTTTGTTTTCCATTATCAGTTCGCCTCGTTTTCTTCTGTAACTTAGCACGATCAATTAAAAAGTTGTTTTTACACATATTCATTGACCTTTTAAACAACCTCGTAGCACGCCTTCGTACTTGTCCTAAGACATTCATATTCTCTCCGAACGGGGTGGTGCTGCAACAGCGTTGTAGGTATCTAGATAGGGACAGAGGTAAGTTCTGATTATTGCCACGGATCGCGCAGGGGTTTAAATGCTTAGCTATTTTTCGGACAAGACGAACAGTAGTATCAGCTTTGGTTATTCCTGTCTGTTAGTTATCCCTAGTGTCCCGGCTGTCTGTCAGAAAGAGACATAGATCTTAATCCCTTAAAGTTCTGGATGGGCAGTTATCGTAGAGAAGGTAGTCTTCTCTATAAGTGGTATTTATTATTATAGTTGACTGAAGTCATTCCAAAATTAGCCTTCCATTTGATTGTTTAAATTATAGGTTTTCTGTGTTTAATTAATGCGTGGTTCAAAGAGCTTTCAAACCGTGATCATCATTCGGTTGAGTTACTTAATATCGAAGTGGCATTAATTTTATTAAGTATAATTCACACAGAGTATACCATTCACTAGTTTACGTTAACTATTTGATATTTTGCTGCTTTTCGGTTCTAGAAAATATTTTTAGTCGCTGTTCCATTAAACGCATCAATATATTACATTTTCCTAATTTAGTGTACATTGATATAAATTTCAGAAAACTTTGAGTGTACATAATACGATATGCAAACAATTCAGCCTACTGAGAATCAAACTCTAAAAATTGAACTCAATCAGAACAATGGGTAACATTAATTATTTGATATTTTTGAGCTAACGCTGAAACACATAAGCGTTCCAGGAAATTCATCAGAATCAGTATCTCTGAACAAAGAAATAATAAGTTCAAGTTTGTGTTATGTAAATGAAACAATTGATGGGTTATCATATGCCCCAGCTAAATTTATTTGCAATGACAGGTAAGACACGTATATTTTGAGTCTTATGCCGTGTATGATCGACATAGATATTATAGACGTAACGCTTCGCAGTATAACTATTTCTATATGCATATTATTTATGATTATTTTAAAGTGTTCAAAAATTAGTGTGGTGGAAACTATTTTGTTTAAGAGCGATCTAGTCATTTGAAAGCTGTTTTTAAGAATTGATTTTAGTGTCAAATATTGCTTTCTGAAAATAATATGGGACAAAAAGCATCAAAAACCTTGCCTAATTGGCTTAGCAAGTCTATATAAACAGTTTGTAAAGTACTTCGGTCCTTATCCTCAATATTTTCGCAGTTGGTGGTTGCCATTCGGTAACTACTAATTCTTATCAAGGACCCTAAGTTAACTACAGTTCGTTCTGCTTTTCATGGGGATATAATAATCGTGGTGTGCAGAAGACCAATCTAATTACCCTTGAAAGGTTTTTATCTCATTGAAATCAAGTAAATCATTGGACGGGGGCACAATTACGAAGTCCATAAAAATGATTGGTCTTATAATATACTGAACCATCTTAGTCTGTGGTTGTACATGACCATTATATATATATATACCAATGTTTCCTTCTTCATCTATAATAAACTATAAAATCCCTTTGCAATGAACTTTTCTCGATATCACATTGCTTTTAGTTTAGAAGTATTCTTCTGAATCTGCTTGTGTACTTGGTGCATTTGTTATTAATTTTGGCATATTAGCAGTATACTTCATCGTTCTTGTTTGATTTGCCAGTTTTTATGGTTCAGAAACCATAAGAACAAAAATGTATTGTGAATTTATACTAACTATCAAGCTAAAAGATTACCAGCTGTTTTTCTTGAGCATGCAGATTTTCAAAATCGCTGTTAAGCACTACTTCTAATATTCCTTATTTACATGATATACAAATACCTAGCACCCTCATTCAGCAAATATCGCGTTTTTTATTTATACTGTAGTCGGAAACGTCATTTATTTATCGACTTAACACGCATAAAATCCAGATTTACTTCATCAAAAACTCATTCGTATCAATAGCTTTGCGAATAGCAAGTCCCCATAATGAGATAGGAAATATTACCACTAAGTTTAACTCCTTGTCAGTCAACATAAAGAGCTTAAGCACAGAAAGTCATTGAAATTTACTGTGAAAACGTATAAGTATTTAGATTTTTGATTCCGTTGATGGAAACTCACCAACAGTCTATATCAGATCTTCACAATTATCTTTATATACAGATCAACCATTATTTGTTTGAAAACTTGTTTAATTAGTACGTGTAAAAATAAACAGGAGTTCCACATTTTTCACGCACCGATCTTTCTGTAGCATATTTCTTGGAGTAAGATTTTTAAATAGGACTTTCAAAGTATAGTCTCGTCAACTTAGAACGTAATTTTTAAGACCTTTCTCGCTTTGACTAATTGAAAGAATACCTTATTTTCAAGCTTTAACGCTTATTGCCAATAGATTTTTATATGATTCCAATCACAATGCAAATTGTGACATACTGAACATGTTTTCTTTTAAGCTACCGAAGTCATAAACTGTAAATTTACTCATACATATCGATGAGTGACACTATATTTGTAATATTTCACCGTTGTTTAACCGACAACAAAAATTTACTTTCACGCGTTAATTCAACCAATGAATATTCTAAAACTTTATAAAATTGGATTACTGTAAAACATTTTTTCACACCTTTTTAGGAAAATTACAAATTTCATCATCTCAACGTCCAGAGTAAGATAATACTTCCTACTTTTCCTTGTTCATACTAAGCCTTTTACTGATTTCCTTTTCTTACTTCTTGGTTGTTTTACGTTTTGTTTCTGGGTTAACGGGAAGTGTTGTAACTTTACTTGATATGCATTATCCACCAAGACTTAGGTCGTATATGACTGACCATTTAAACTAATAGACAATATTCTTCATATACATAAACTTGTCTCAGGTTAGTGGTTTGAGATTGTTTCACTTTAACTTTAGTAGTAGTCTAAATACGTACTTTTTGCCAACTCTTATATTTCATAGTACCGTATTCTACAAAATATATTAAATAAAAACGTAATAAATGTGAAATTTATTTTTCTTACAGATCGCTAACGAATATCGATGCACTGAAGGGATTCATATTTCTGCGCTATATTAACATAGGATTCAATCGTATAACTAATTTAAGACCATTATATGGCTTAGCCAATCTCATTGTATTAAGAGCATCATATAATGAAATAGAAGAATTTCCTTGTGGAAATTGGCCTACGTTAACACATTTAGATTTAAGAAATAATCGTATTAAAAGGCTAACAACTGTAAATTACCCAAGATTATTGGTTCTATTCCTTGACAGTGAGTTTTATTATATGGTAAAATTTACTAAAATTCGGTTTATCACCGGTTATAAATATTTCTAACTTGTACTGATGTCTACACCTGGATAATACTTTCCAAGCTTTGCTATTTTACCGTATTTTATCATCAGTCTAAATAGCTCACTTCATTTTCCCCATCACTCTTACATCGTAATGCAACTAAATAATTTCTGTTGTACAAACACCTAAAATACGCATAGAACAATCACAGACTACTAACTCAGTTCGAAAGTAATTACATAATTGTAATCCTATAGCTTCACTTGAATTTTATCTACTGACCTTATGCTTGGTTTTTTCCAGATACTTCTTCAGTAATTGAGATGTTTAATGTGCACTTTGTAATGTTTAATGTAGCTGAAATGACTAATTTTTAACTCTAACTACTTCTAAGTAATGAAATAGGATAACACTCAAAAAAATAATATAAATTATTAATTACACCAAAAATCGTGAATATTTCTTCTCTGGTGAGTAATTTAACATGAACTAGGTGCGTCTTATTGTTATTATCAATAATGGATTAATAGATACACAAATAGATAATCTTTTGAAGAAATCAAATCACGTCGTTTAACAACAAAACTAACCCTCTATACTCTATATTTTCATTGTTATCTTTTCGACTAAGAATTCAGAAGGGATTGTATTTCGAGACTGAAAATAATATTTTGAGCCTTGCAATATACTAAATGTTTTATTCATTAAGTGTACCAATATCTTAAATTATACTTTGACTGACGCTTTTAATCGATGTTTTTAAACCATTGTGTTAGCGGGATATAGACAGAATTAAAGCATATTCCGTGCAGGGCTATTTCTTAGCGAACACGGATACTTGGAGAAGACTCGAGAATCTTCTTATTTAAAAATATATATTAACGTTTTTCCTATTGTGATCACTGTTTCCACCCAACCCTGTTATTTGGAATATGATTAGGTTCCTGTTCAACCATGTTCTGATTTGAGGATTTGTCGAATGAAGTAATATCCGAGATTACCAAGTAATAAAAAAATTCATAACACATTGTCTTTCAACTTTATGGAAACAAATTATGAATGAGTATCCAGGTCCTTCTGTTTTAATAGGATATAAATACAGAGATATTAGGATAGATTTCCTATTTTTAAAATGCCGTAGAAACGTTTATCATCCACAAGTAAACCCTTACTGGTTACAAATACAAAGCGAAAAATTTGAATAATCCTATTATTTCTCGGCATAGTGTCTCAACTAATTCAGACATTGGTGATAAGTATGTTTGATCTACGTTCACAGACTCATATCACTATTTTCAAACCTCTGAAATTTAATAAGCTCATCAAGATAAGACCTCGGTAAGGAATGATCGACTTTCCAGATTTCTTTTAATCAGAAAGCTACATGTATGTGAGAAAGTGCTCTATAAATTGATTTACTGAGGTCGATTTTTTTAGATTGTCCATACTTTTCTAGAAGGAACCTCTTTCTACTGAAAATATCTTTGTCAAATACACAGATCATCTTACGACACTAAAGTAAGTTGTTGTACCTACTCAGACTGATTTTTCAATAGTGGGCTATCTGAGCAAACTAGGTAACTGTTTCTAGTGAGTGGCTTAATATATGATTCCATAAAAAGTCAGGAAGTCTATTTATTTACTTAAACACAAACATTAGTATAACGAAGCACCAAATATATATGCGCCACACAAATCAAACGATTTGTGTGAGGGCTGGGATACAGCCCGGGTGCCCAAGCAGAAGCGAGTGGTTTTCTGAGGGCGCCACTCTCCGAGCCTTTGACCTAGAGTTCTAATGCACAAAGCAATGGAGCAACGTTAAAAGATACAGTCCCATGGTAGTTGGTGATCAACAATCGGTTCATACACCTTCTGTTCTTTCAGTATCCTGAAGCCCATGTGCACTATTGGTTTGGAATCAGGGTTTACCAACTCCCTCAGGTGAATCATTTATATCCACTAACCCGGTTAAAGCGCCGGATATGCGCTTTCCGTCCTCTCAGTTTCGTAAACAACCCCCCCCCGCGAGAAGGTAGTGGGTAGGACTTTCCTGACAGTGACTGTATACATGTAGCTATGTGAGAGCATTTCGAAAGGGAGAACTGACTGCCCCCACTCTTGGCCTTGACTAGGGCATTTGGAGGCTCAGTTAAATCAGTCATTCTGAAAGGAAATTGGACGGATTTTGTGTTTCGCTCGGTCCCCATACTGATAATTCTTCTTTTATAATGTGTATCAAATCTCATCTATCTCATTTGAATCCATGTTAATGGTCTTTTCAAGCTTTTTTATATCTAAACGAAGTCCGTCCTCCCTATGGTGCGAAATGTTCAAGTGATATTAAGTCATGGATCATGACATCAGGATTTTAGGGTGTTCATGTTGACACAATTCACTCGTAAACATTGAACAATTATTTAACCAGGTGTCATCGAACAAAATAAAGAAAATTCAGCGAAAGTTTTCTTTTGGACGAAAACACTTGCCTAAGATGTAGACTCGCATTTATAAGATACAAAAGGTTTCATCACAGTGATTCGAAATTTGAAATACCAAAAGGGTTTGCGTAATAGTCGGAGGGTTAACGAAGAACAACAAGATGAAAATAATTCTAGCCCATAGACTACTTTCGTCCTCCTGTTCTTCTTTAACCCTCCGATTATTACGCAACCCTTATTGATATTTGAGATTTCGAACTACTTCGTAATGCGATATTTTCTATCTTATATAGTAATCAAACAACGATAAATACAAATTTACAGCTTAAGTAAATGTTTGAGTCGAAAAGAAAACTCTTGCTGAATTATCTTTATTTAATTTAAACAGTATTTCCAAATATCTTTTCAAATTACACAAGTCTCAAAAGTAAAAGTAACCATTTACTAATATTATTATTGGTAAACAATATCGATGCAATAAATTACACAATGGAATGATTTTGATTAAGCTAGAACACAGATTATTATTAAAGATGAATCAGTAATAGCAGGATTTTCTTTCCTACTCTGATCAACTTGGGCATAGTCCCCAGTGACTAATTCAAGAAACTTCAACTATATACTGTAAATTACTCACACTTAAAAGCAGTTGTTTTATTGGCTTTCGCTGTTTTTATCTAGTCATCCTAAATTTTTAGTCAACGTAAGCGTATTTCAGCCAGTATCGCACTTCAGGTACACGGTAACTTATCATGTGCGATTCTTTACCCAGACTCTTTAAACAGTGCAAGTTCAAAATATCATCAATCGGTTATCGTTCTTCTAAATCACGCCTAAAACCTCTTACATTTTTCAGGTGTAAAATGTGTGCTGAATAGTATCAGATTTTTGACAGAGATATTCGAAAAATACTGTACTTTTCTAGTCTTCCCCCATAAGGAACATGCTGTTAGCATAAACAGAGTTGGGAGTAAGGTTTCTTCGGTGCCAAAAGGCACCGTTTTGGTAGTAAGTTTCTGATTTAACCCATAAATAAGTGCATCTATTTTTCATAGAAAAAATTTCTTTAAATTCTCCGTAAGACTACTTAAATTGCATTTAGTAAAAATATGCTTCACTTAGACACGATCGGAAACTTACTGTTGAAGTGATTTGATTTAGATGTCCGAATAAAAATGTTAGCGATTATACCTGTATTTTGGGACCAGGAAGAGAATGAGGATTGAGTTACTTTTGTCTCTTTCAGCAACAAAGATTTTGTTGTGTGTGTGGCTTTGTTGCTTTTCAGAAACTTTTGGTATCATAATACTGTATATTTTTGGGCACTTTCTTCAGCGTTCGTCCGAAGTAGATCACATCATTTTTCCTTGGTTACAAGCTTATCTGATCACATAAAAGTTTCAAGATACATTAACAAGCTCTGTTTGATAAACTAGTTTAAAACACTCCCATAAATAAGGGCTGCCCGCTGCTGCCATCTAGATATTTCAACAGGTTACCGGTTTCCTTGTTTGTTTTAACAGATCATTATGTTAATTAATTGCATAACCTATTCAGGTGTGTTTGTAAAGAGTTTACTACCTTTCGCTGTACAAGTTACAAAAATTTACAATCGGAGACATCGTGATGGCTGGTAATGTGAATTGAAAAGGATGATTACTATTTGGGTGTCGACTTCTGAAATGCTAATAACTAACTGGCGATCACTCAATATTTGTCGTCACTATCGACCAAGAAATAAGAAATGGAAGCTCGCTGAAATACTTTCTGCCGAGAATTCTTTATTGTACCAAAAGTATGATAGTGAATAAACCTAGTAATAATAAAATACACTAAGTAAATTACACAGTTAGTGTGTCCTGTAATATACATAGGAAAATTTTAACCTATTTGAGTGACAGGATAAAACTGAAATCTAAAATATCAGTTCGGACTGACTTACTCCATTTTCATTCAATAAACATAAAACTGACAAAGTTAAACATTGTGGAAATGGACTAAAGGATTCTGTAAGCCAAATTAAATAGGTTAATGTTTCTTAAAATTGAAAACGAGATATCTGTCTTACTCTCCAACTTTCTGTAAAACTCCGATTAATATAAAAACTCAATGAAAATTATCTGTAAAGTGGATTGGTCTAGATTAATAAAATGTTATTCAATATGAGTACAATTTTAACATTACCGTTTGAAATCGTAGAACACTATTTTAGTTATTTTTTGTTATGTTTATTAACAGATAATCAGTTACGTAAATTGACCAGTCAAACTGATGGGTCATGTTATTTAAGTGATTATAGTGTACCGAAATTGCATACTCTCGGATTATCACACAATTTAATTGAGGTAGAAGATACTTTAATAAATGATTCCAATATCAATATAGCAATTGGATTAGAATTGAAAAATTTAAAAGCATTATATCTTGGTTACAACAAATTAATTAGTTTTGGAAATTATAAATTAAAAAGTGAAAATGTACAAAATTCACTAAATGAATTAAAATACAATACTGATAATCAAAAAGAGCAAAGTTATAATCACAATTCCCTAATTGGATATCTCCCAAATTTATCTGTTTTACACATAAGAAGTAGTGGATTAATCAATCTGGATGGAATAACACCTGAATGTTTACCAAGATTAGAGTATTTAAATGTTAGGTAAGTCAAACAAAATGTATGTGAGAGTATGGAAAATATGCGAAACTGTGAAGTAGTAATTGTAGATGAATAATTAAGTCCAAATCCGTGTACCTGATTTTCAGTGGCACATTTCGTGGGCAAAGAGTAGTTATATTAGCATACCGTGTAGGCTTAAGTACGCGAAATGCCGTTCGAGCCTGGATGTAATGCGAGTTGAATTCAACGTTGAAAAGCGTCTTAAAATAATCACATGCATTACAGTGTCTGTAGTGATAAATACCAATATTTCAGACAAAAACTATTGAAGTATTTTTTATACTGAAAGTAAAACCATCTATTAAAACTTTCTAACCTCTTTTGGTTACTAATACAAGTTGAAACAGTGGATCAAGCACAAGTTGCCAAATGATAGGTACGCATAGCTGGCTTTCGTTTACTAATAATACACAAACTACCGACAAGCTTAATTTCCTAAAGAATATATATATATATATATATATATATATATATATATATATATATATATATATATATATTGGTATCAATTCTCAAACACCTTCAGTCACAACACAAATCCTTTTTTAGACTTACTAAAACGTTGCACAGGTTCAGATTCAAAAGTATTGTCAGTAACTGAAAGATATGTTTCGTGCCCTGTTATATTAAAAATTTCTGACAAATAATCTAACTAGCTCAATATATGAAGTACCATTGCTTACATTGAGGCTCAAATTATTGACATTCACTCGATATTATGAATTTTGGACAATTGATCAGTCATACCGATATTCCATATAATGTTAGCACGTGAGGTGTACTTCTTTCATGATAAAAGATAAAGAGCCAATGAGCCTGTATTACAAGGGTTGTATACGACCATATCAAATATCTTCAATCAGATTTAGTTTAATGTTAATATCAATATTATTTTTTTAAATTCCTAACTAATACACAATGCAAGGCTTTATGTCATTAAAGTACAATGATAATAAGCATCGGATAAGACAAATTCTGTAAAACACAATCCAATCCTTACTTTCCTATTTGAGCAGTTGTGTTAACCAAAAAATGTACTTATTTAAGAAAATCACACAATCTTGCGAACTGTCCAAACATCTTTCGGTCGATTAGAAACTTTTTCCACTCCTTAAGACAGAATTTATATAATGGAATTTGATACCACTTTCTCAAAGATACTGAATATCTTGGCATGAAAACACTATTCATGTCATTGTAACGAGACTGTTTTATTTACGTTATAGAGAAAATCAAATCGGCAGTTTAGAAGAAATAAAAAAGCTAACCAGCCTCCAGCGTTTACGTACAGTGATTTTAACAGGTAACTTTATCAAATATTTACACATAATACCTCCCTTCAATAAGCATTATTAAACTAATGATCAAGCATCTGCATCACATCATTAACTGTTCATTACCATGAGTACATGTTATCTTATATCGTTACACGACATCAGGGTTCCAGAGATAGTCGGTTTTAGATCTTGTACCTGTAATAAACAAGTTTGCTAGTTAGTTCTTACGACTTAAGCATCTTAAAAACCCACATGATAAATGTGGAGACAAAAGATCTTTACTTCTTATATTTTGCTTGATACACAAACTAGTTTATTGTACGCTATTATTTCAAAAGTCACAAGAAATCCATTATTTTTGTTTGAAGCTAGAGGGTCTAGAATAGGAACAACAACCTTACATCTACAATTTGTCGACACCTTAGTTGTTTAGTTTAGTATCCTTTCCACATATTATTTCGACCGCCAAAGATGCTTCTGCCCTGAAATAAGAAGTTATCTAATTTAAAAGTTTTGGGACTAAAAATCTCCAAACGTAAAGCGCATGTATTTCATGTTGGTAGGATCAGTATGCGATATCGATTAACAAAGTTGCTACTTATTGAAAAGGGTCATTTGAGCTATCCGAAAATTGGAGTAGGTGTTTACTAAATAGTTCGACTGGCTTAAGTTAAGCTAATAGACTCTGATCCAGAATTCCCGTTTTTCGTGAAACATATTATCAAGCTATTTAATTTTGTTTGTCCACCATCTATTATGTTCCTCTAAAGTAGTATTGTCCTCATTTGCACGTACTAATAGTAAGTTTAATATTAGACTATACATCCACTAACGTATCATATCATTTGCGTAATTATTGTTATTTTTGATAAACTAATTAAAGATTGATAAGTATCCACATTAAGTAGTATAAATTACTGTGATAATATTTTCGAAAGTTATACCCAGTGGCTAGTGTAATTCATCCTTCAATATGATAATTACGTGATTTGTATTGACCATCTGTAGATAATCCAGTTTATGATGTCAAAGATTACCGATTAGAAGTTCGCGTTTGTCTGGTCAATTTAAGGCGACTTGATAAAGATATCTATACGATGGAAGAAAATGAAGAGGCGGATGAATTAGCTATTCAAAGAATGCAACCAACCTGATTTTTCAGACGTAAGTTATTCAAAAAGTTGGGATATGATTAAAGGCTGGTAAACCTTACGTACATAAACCATAATGCTTACTCCTACAGTACTGTTATAACCTGACATGTTCACATGGCCGCAAACCCTACACTGTTATCAAAGCATTTAAAAGTATGGGAAAGACCCGAACTTTATTAACACAAAGAATGAGACAAGTACGCTACACAGAGGACAAGATAAGTCGCGACACGTCTAGTATTAGTGTCTATTGAACAATCTAAAGAATGTCATACGTGTTACACTTAACTGACAACACAAAATGTGATCTCAGGTTAATGACAAACACTATCTCCCTTATTTATTTATTTCAACACATAAATGTTGGTACAATGAAGCACCAGATAAATATGCGCCTCACAAATCTCATTTGATTTGTGTGAGGGCTGTGATACTGCCCAGACTGAAGCAGGTGATTTTCTTAGGGAGCCACACCCCGAGCCTTTGACCTGAAGATCTAGTCAACAAGGCAGTGGAGCATCGTGAGGAGATGCGGTCCCATGGTAGTTGGTGATCAACAATCGGTTCATACACCTGTTCTCTCAGGATCCTGAAGCCCATGTGCACCATTGGTTTGGAATCAGGGTTTTCCAACTCCCCTAGGTGAATTTTTCGTGTCCACCAACCCGGTTAAAGCGCCGGACATTCGCTTTTCGTCCTCTCAATTTCGTAGACAACACCCCCGCCACGAGAAGGCAGTGAGTAGGACTTCCCTGGCAGAGGCTATATATTCGCTGGCCATGTGAGAGCATTTCGAGAGGGAGAGCGGACTCTCCCCACTCTCAGCCGTACCAGGGCGTTTGATGGCACTACTTGGGCATTTGGGGGTTCGAACCTGGCGAGCCGGGGCCGTGGATGCGCACTGCTGAGGAGTCCCACAATAGGACAAAAATATCTCCCTGCACAACAGACACCATAAACTAACTGTGGTCAAAAATATTCAACGCATATCGTCGGTTAGAGTCATAAAGTTGTTATTTTTTGATCGTTTTCTGAATAGAAATTTATCTGATTATTGTTTCCACCTGATTTATTAGATGTTGAATGGTCAAAAAAACTTAAAATCGCGAATTGCCTAGAGCTTCCAACATCAGAAATATGTCATTCCAACAATATGCTGGTCCTACTGTACTTTTTTCTTAAAATCTTAGTTCGATTGAGTGATGTGGAATGGTTAACGGTATTTGAGGAGAAGCAATTTTTGCTCACAGATACTATGAAACCGTAACTGCCAATACGTTCAAAATACATAGTTTTTCGACGATATGAGAGATTAAATCTGGCCTACATTTTACGTCAATAAACATCTGGCTAAAAACAAGTTTTTACTGTGTTAGTGAACTCAGATTGTCTTGAGAGTTTTCTCAAAATCAAATAATTTGTCCATAGATAACTTCTAACCTTTTTAAAGATTACATTAAGTTCTTTTTATAGATTTATATTATGAGGCTGCACGTATGTCCCTTACTTATTTAGTTTTATAAATGGAATAAAAAACCCTTCACCAAAGAAGTGTTCAGATGAATGTGTACTCTCCCGTAATATGAGTGATGGGTCTTATTATAAAAAATTCGAGTTAACATTAAGTCTGCCAAACCAGTGGGAAAATAAACCTCACAATGCTGGTTTCCGGAGATTTGTGTTACCAACCTCAAATATTTGTGAACAAATATCTCACCACTGTATCAAATTAAGACGATGTTGCATATGAGACACTACTAAATTTATGAACATTACATTTTAAGCAATGGTCTAAGCAGATTTTAAGAAATGGTACACTAGACAATCTACTTAAGTAGGTGTGTAAGGTTGGACTATGCTGAGAATAAATTTGAGCTGAAGTAAGATATACAGGACTGCAAACAAATAACATGCCGGACATTTTACTTTTTACTAATTATTTTGATATTACAGGAACGTGGATCAACCTTATATGAGCGTACGTCAGCTTTTCAGGAAACATCTTTAAAAAGTTTCTCAAGCGTTTACATATATATTTTTATTCTAACACTTTAAAGAAGTTTTAAAATACAATTTACCTAACATAAAACTGGCTTTTAATGCTTTACCGTATATTAAAATTGAAAAAGTAGCAAGTAGTCAGACGGAAACTATCTTGTATGACATGTGGCTCCGAACGTTTTAAAATGAATTCACATTCGTTTACCGTGCGTTTAACAGAGGTCTGTCATGGATTTACATACCAAGGGAGTACTTTCATCATTAAAACCGGTAATTAACAAAAAGCTCAACGAGATTAATTTCCGATATTCAATCGCTAGCCTATATTCATTACACCTTCTCTATAAACAAAACAGATTCCATCAAATTCTGTAGTAACTTCTCGTAATGTTTCAAACAAATTAAATTATTAGTCCGGTTGATTTTGACCTCCAGTTTAAAATTATAAAACCATCAGTCAAATAGTCTGATTACACAGAAACCAAACACGCTAGTGTAGTCATATTTATTATTCGTTGCCCTTGAAATCCTGAGTACATTATTTGTTATGTCATTCATATATTACCTGATATTTTCTTTCGTAGCCTGTCGCAAAATATGGCATCTGAGACCGCTGCACTGCAATTTGGAAATTCAAAGTGACTATATTCTGTATTAAAAAGCGGTGTATCTACCAAGGTGCACACTGTGGATTATTACGAATGCCGTTTATTTCATTTCATTGCTCATTTCCATTCTTAAATAACCTAATAATGTTAATTGATGACCCAGACCATCGATATTTCAAAATGGAAAATTAGAGCAGGGAAGGTAGCTTGTGAATAGTTATTTACACAAATGAATTTAAAAAAGGGTCGGAAGATCGAGCTAGTAGTATTTACTAAGAGACGACAAGAATTACGTATCTACAACCCCAAGTAAGTTGGCGTTAAGTGATCCCATAAACTGAAAGGATCTTCACTTAGAAGCACATCTGTAGGCCATTCTTCGCATATTTTTGAGTGAAACTTTGATAAAAAAAATATGACGAAGTTTTCCGATTTTCGGATCTCAGCTCATTATTTTGTCTTAACATTTGTGGTTATAAGTAAAGTAGAACTTTTCGATGTGACTACCTGCTGTTATTGAGGCAAGAGGTATGTTCCGAACCGATACTAAACTTAGACCTAGATATGGAGTCTATAAAGTTACTGATTATCGGTCTAAGACTTAGCACGTGTTTCCAGGTTGTCCGCAAGAATATCGTGATTCACGTATACAGGTCATATGACATGAGGCCATCGCTTCCACTGCCTTGAGGACTCTTTGTATTACCACATACTAATCTCGTTTCTAGACCTCACTCCTGATATACTTCTGGTTTTGGGATTATGGGCTTCACCGTGTTGTATCCCCTTTATTCTCAAAATATATTTAAAGACCTCCCGATCGTTGCTGCTACCTTGACGTGGTGGTCGGGCTTGCCTATCGTGATGAAGCAATCGAGCTATGCTGGCTGGAACAGTCGTTCCTCGAGGTCCTACCATGCCAGACAGGTCGGTTGAAGAGCGGTGAGACTAAAAGCAGCAAACCCAAGGTCCGAAGGCGAAGTCGTACTGCTGACTGTACAGAGGTGTGAAGGCAGTAAGGTGTTTCCTTCAGACAACCAGCATGACAGCGATGCTGCCTTCCCACAAGGAGGGGTGGGGTTAGAAAAGGTCGACCCTAAAAATGCACACCTCGCCTTATCCCATGGATGTCCGTCTCCGGCGGTAAGGTTTTTTTTGAAGAACGGAGCTAACACAAAAACTACCCACAAAAAGGTCGTGTGTGACCGACCTCAAGCAGTTGTCCCTTGGGCACTGCAGCCACGCTCTCAGGTCATTAAGACCACTTCTAACCCAATTTCCTTTTCAGGTACCCCTAGAAGAACCCTTCCACGGTGTGGGCAACCGGGAAGTGATAACTGCCCTCATACCTCTAACAGCACTCAAGACCACTGTATTCATAATCAATCTCCTTCTTTACTTCCTACTATTCCCTCTACCTTGACTTTCAACACTAAACTTCCTCTCTCGGTTTCCTCCTCAAGTGTCACCATGGCCAACGATTCTAGTGCGCGAAACGCTGTCCCAGGTCTACTAAAACCTCGCTCCAAACTACACATTGGAGCCTTCAACGTACGTACCCTATGCCAAATCGGTCAACAGGCCTCCTTAGCTAAAACTCTAGAATCTCGTACCATTGATGTATGCTGTGTCTCCGAAACACGCATACAGGATCCCAGTGTGGTCATTCACTTGACCTCACCTCGCCAAAATGGACAGCCGACGAAATACACCCTCCGTATATCTGGCGATTCGTTGGCTAGTTCTCGCGGACTTGCAGGTGTAGGCATAGCACTAAGTACAAGGGCAGAACAGGCACTATTAGAATGGATCCCCGTTAACAGTCGCCTGTGTGCTGTCCGGCTAAATGGTTCCGTAAGAACTCGGAAGGATAGGGACACACGTCGTTGCCTTTTCGTCGTTTCTGCCTACGCTCCCACTGACTGCAGCCATGAGGAAGTAAAAGATGACTTTTACAGAAAACTCTCTGAGCTTCTTCAGAAAGCTAAGCGCTCAGACATAGTAGTCGTAGCGGGTGACTTTAATGCCCAGGTAGGCAGCTTAAATCAAACAGAAAGACATTTAGGTGGGTGTTTTAGTATTCCGGTTCAACGAACCGATAATGGTGATCGTCTGTTGCAACTATGCTCAGACAATCGTTTATTTCTAGCAAGCACTAATTTTAAACATAAGGAGAGACATCGTCTAACATGGCGACCACCTGCACCAAACCAACGATGGACTCAAATAGACCATATTGTCATCAGTCATCGTTGGAGAGGCTCAATAGAAGATTGTCGCTCGTATTGGAATACTTGTTTAGACTCTGATCACGCTTTAATACGAGCACGCATTTGTCTGCGCCTCAATGGACGCAGGAAAACTACACTAAGAAGACCCATTAGGATTGAACTGGAAGACGAGAAAGCCAAATGCGAATTCCAGAAGCAACTGAGTTCACATCTAGGCAGTTCTGTAAACGAGACTGACCCAGATGCTGCTTGGAAAGACACACGAACAGCTGTGGAAACGGCAGTAACATCTATTAGTCATTTAAACCATAGGGCTCCAAAAAACCAGTGGATTTCCTCTAAGTCTATTTTACTGATGGATTCGCGTAAACTCATCCCATCAGGCTCTGAACATGACGAAGAGCGTAAACAAATTAGATCTAGGTTAACTAAAAGCCTAAGGAACGATCGTGAGCAGTGGTGGGCAACGAAAGCAAAAGAGATGGAAAAGGCAGCGGCTGTAGGCAACACCAGGCAACTATTCAGACTAATAAAAGAAACCGGAATTAAGAAGTCAAGTGTGAGTGAGACAATCTCGGAAAAAGACGGAACCCTTATCTGCTCTCAACCCAAACGTTTAGAACGATGGGCGGAACACTTTAAGGAGCAGTTTAGCTGGCCTTCAGCTACTGCACAACTACCCACTATTCCCAGAAAACCTGAATGGAACATTGAAGTAGGCCCCCCGACCCTACTTGAAGTTCAAAAGGCTATAGGTAATCTGAAACGAGGAAGAGCAGCTGGTCCTGATGGATTGGCTCCAGAGGTTTTTAAATACGGTGGTCCAATTTTAGCGATTAGGTTGACTAATATTCTGGCTAAAATCTGGGAGACGGATGTAATCCCATCCGACTGGTCACAATCACTGATTGTCCAAATATATAAAAAGGGGTCAAAATCATCCTGCGATAACCATAGAGGGATTAGTCTGACTAACATAGAATCTAAAATACTAGCCTCAATAATTATCGGGCGCCTAACTAAGACTCGTGAACTGCAAACACGAGAAAATCAGGCTGGCTTCAGACCTGGTCGTGGCTGTATCGACCACATATTCACCATTCGTCAAGTTTTAGAGCACAGACACGCTTATCGGCGTCCGACAATGATAGTTTTTCTTTTTTTGAAAGCAGCATTTGACTCTGTAGACCGAGAGGTTCTGTGGCAGTGTCTGTCATTGAAAGGTGTACCTGAGAAGTACATAAACCTTGTGAAGGCTCTTTACTCGAACAATACCAGTCGAGTGAGAGCTTATGGCGAACTGTCATATGATTTTACAACCTCAAGTGGTGTCCGTCAAGGCTGTCCACTATCCCCATTTTTGTTTAACTTCATTATAGACCTGTTGCTGGAAATAACACTCTCTTCGACTGAATCTACAGGAATTGATCTCCTACCGGGGGGACCACTAAGCGACTTAGAATACGCAGATGACATAGTCCTGTTTGGTGAAGACGCTGGCAAAATGCAGAGTCTTCTGTTGGAACTCAGTAATAATGCCAGGATGTTTGGGATGCGTTTCTCCCCATCCAAATGTAAATTGTTACTCCAGGACTGGCCTGCGTCAACACCTGAACTAAGGATAGGGAATGAAGTAGTCGAACGCGTCGACAACTTCACTTATCTTGGAAGTCTGATCAGCCTTAATGGGTTGGTGTCAGACGAAATCTCAGCACGGATTCAAAAAGCTCGTTTGGCTTTTGCCAACTTACGTCACCTATGGCGTAGACGAGATATCCGTCTATCAATTAAGGGACGAGTATACTGCTCATCAGTTCGCTCTGTCCTACTTTACGGCTGTGAAACATGGCCATTAAGAGTAGAAGATACTCGTAGGTTACTAGTATTTGACCACAGATGCCTTAGAAATATTGCTCGCATCTGCTGGGATCACCGGGTAAGTAATAGTGAGGTTAGACGCAGGGTATTAGTAAATGATGGTAAATCAATTGATGAGGTCATGAATCTTCATCGACTGAGATGGTTGGGCCATGTGTTACGTATGCCTGAACACCGATTACCACGACGCGCTATGATGACTAGTGTAGAGGATGGTTGGAAGAGAGTTAGGGGCGGCCAAACCAAAACATGGCATCAGTGTTTGAAGTCACTAACTTCTAGCCTGAGCCATGTTGGCAGATGCAGACTACCTGGTTGGGGTCCGCGTGACTATCGTAACCAATGGTTGGAGACTCTAGGTGACATGGCTCAGAATCGGTCACAATGACGTAGGTGTATACACTCTTTATCTTCCCTTAAACCTTGAGACTAAAATTGCTTCATATCTCTCTTCCTTCCTGTACTATATCCTTATATACAACCTATAATTTATATACTACTACCAACACTAGATTAACTACTATGAATCCGGTGTTCCTCTTGTTGTGCTAACGAGGTATGGCAACTTGGACCGATGCATATATGTGCCTGGTCCTACGTTGTAGCTGACTGACTGATTTAAAGACCTATGTGGTAGATTGGCGAAAAACAGAGGTTACTAGGATGTATGAGTACCATACTGTTCCTTTTCGAAAATCCTTCGTATGTTTCGCGAAAGACATGAGTTTCAGAACGCAACACATCATAGAGTTCCAATGCAATGAGATCTTGATAATTCACGTATTCGCAACATTAGTGAGTCTTTTACTAACTACCTTAAAAATCAAATTTAGAAGTTAGGCATTTCGAAAAACATATATTACATGTGGAATCAAAATGATCCTTTTCCGGATGACAAGAAAGCAGTTGCGCCGGCAGCGAGTAACATCGATACAGAGTAATTTCTGGTTCATTAGTTAAGGAAATGGAAAGCATAGAAACTACATCTCGTTATACGTAAATTATTTTGATAAGAGCATTGCCTTGTGACTGATATTATGAAACATCAAGCAAACTTTGAAACTCAGTTTCATCTTACAACTATAGCGAACGGAGGTTGTGAGATGTAAAAGTCAAAAAAACAATCTGTTGACCCTTCACATTTTAAAAGAACGTTGCATATCATAGTATATCCCACTGTGTAAGCGTCTCTTGACTTACTGCAATCAAAAACTGAGTATGCTGTCAAATAATTGTAAGATTGCTACCAAGCTACAAGTTTTCATATGAAATTACTAGCTGCATTAATCAAATGACGGACAACCTAATAATTCATCTACACAATACGGTTATGGACGGTAAATACGTAGCTGCTTATAAGTAGAAAGGTATTGGTTAAATCACAGTACTTTGGCTCTACAGAATGGGGTGGGAGGCAAGAAAGTTTATCCATAAGCGAAATATCCGACGGTGTGGCTAAGATCGAAAACGAGATCATAGGGCAACTGAAAAACAGGATCTCACTATGTGACGCTGCTAGGTGAGGCAAAATAATAAAACCCAAGCCTTGCCTTATATGAGTCGTTTATGTACAGTCCATATTCGCAGACTCGACCCTCAACACCGTTTAGGATAGTGACTACAGTTGGTGTGTTAGATGAGTTTAACAAAGGGAGAACACGAGCGCTAATGACCGAACATTATAGACATCCCTCTTAGCCACTTTTCTCCATCAAATAATTCACCATAAAATCGCAGCATAGTAGAAAATGAACCAGAAAAACAAACCGAGTGATGTCCACTAGGTGAACGATTCTGGCAACACTTTAAAAGGATACACTTGATTTGAGAAATGATGAAGAACAGCAGAAAGTAACAGTAAGACTAGGAGAAATAGGCAATTATTGTAAAATATTGAGAAAGTCGTTGATTCGTAGTCAGCAACCTTTTTAGTTCGTTCGCGGACACTGAGGTTAATTAATTAAATGTCACACTTACACATCCTCTCTGTTTTTCTTCGATAGCTTTTTGTCTTTACCAGCTTCGTTATTGACTTCTTTGGTAATTGCTTCGGTTCGACGGATAGCAATTCTATAGGCAATGTATGATAAGGCAAATAATCACCTTTCCATCAACGGTGTTTTTGAATTTTTGTATGCGATAGATATGAGGAAGGTTGAGGCCAGTGAAATGATGAGATACAAAAATGAATTAGCTATCAGAGGCATTTTGTGAACACCCCAAAATAACCCTAGTTAAGTTAGGTGTACATATTAACAACATACAGATAGGAATCGAAGATATCATGACTGCATTAACATAAACTAGCTTCTCCGAACTCTTTGATGCTGCTTGACTGTATTCTTCTAAGAGTCTTTCATCCTCTTTGGTAATTTTAACAACCATCGTTACGTAACGTTTCTTTTGAATTAGTCGTTTGATACGTATTCTTCTTTGTGCTGTTCAAACAATGAATCACCAGAATATACATTTCTGTACTGTTAATATACTACACTTATCACATTCAAAAGATTGACTTCACCTCTTTAGTCTTACTGACAAGTCAAAGCTTTAGTATCCCTCTCCGTTGACAGGCTTAGTTAATATCATCTAAACATGAAGTCGCATTTGGAGGAATTAGGACATATAACTATAAAATGTCGATTGGCTGTCAGACCAAATTCCTCAGAAACCTGATTTCTTTCTTCAGAAAGATAATCGAAGTACACATATGTTTTTTTATTTTACAGAGCTAACTCCAGGTAACGTGCAATACATTTGTTTAATAAAATGGGATCCATAACGGTCTCATTTCTTTTTACGCACATAAAATTAACAAAATAAATTCCTAAAATAAGTGGGTACGTAAGTCTTCAACATTAATGCAGTAGTAAAGAACAATGAGTTGTAATATTGAACGAGGTGGAGTAGGTTCAAATGATGGAAGGGAAGTCGAAGTTATATTAGGGAATGTTGTATATTAGGACGGAAAGTGGAACAAGAGCTTAAAGTGTTAAGAAAACTAATAACTATATCTTTTACTGTTTGATGTTTTTGGTTTTTTCCGTCCTACGACAGACACACAGTCCTAGTGTAATAGTCCGAGTTAGCATGTTATAGGTTTCCATAGTAGAATACCTAATCCAGCGTAAACTTGGAAACATGAGTCTAAATGGTGAGCGTAGAAGAACAACCTCAATATCACAGATTGATTGACTTGTTCTCAATCATTAAGAGCTTGAAGCAGACAAAATGTTCTGCTACCAAAACATGTGTGGATTGAAGTCATTTCCTTCACCATCAATGCTTGACGATTAGTAATTCCACCCCCCTTCTTTTGTGATGTTAGGCTCATTTAAACTTATTTTTGGATAAATATTATGCTTCACATGATGCTATGTGTTCCACATTCTGTTGGGAAATACTATTTCTATAAGTACCATGAAAGTATAAATCTGATGAATATACAAGAAGGAACTCGCATTAACCTGGTGCTGGTTTTATTTTGTTTTATCCCAACCGGTTGATGGGTAACAGGCTCCATAGATGCAAGACCACTGGTAGTAGGCGATCGATTGTGCTATCCTCTTGAATTATTAGACTACTAGTCAACGTCCCTTTGTGACTTAGTTTAGTTGTGCAGCGTCGACGGGTGCAGTAAGTTACAGGTTTACTTCAAGTGAAAAATTAAGGAGGAAAAGTATCTAATAAGACTGCAAAGTAGGAAAGTAAGGCAAAATGAGCTTAGAGTCTAATTTCGTCTATACATGTAGAGAGCCTTTGATATATGAGTGGGATACAGATGTGTTCGATCATGCAAGTTCAGTGCAAGCAAGAGCTTGATCAAGCAGTTTTACAAACGTATGCAATTCATCTGCCACACGTATTTCAGGTAGAAGGAAACTGTTCCCTGTTAATGAATACTTGGTGAGGAGGAGGTTTTCCCGAGTTCTTGATCCGTATCCTTCAATTTCGCCTGTGTATACTTTGTCTCGAAGGTCGTGTTCATGTGAGTCTTAAGCAAGAAGCATAGTACGTGTGGAGTATGTAAGGTTATTGAGGATTTTGAAGTAGGGTATCAAGTTAGACCTGTGCCTCCTTTTCCAATGGGGTTCTAAGCATCGTGAACTGTAGTCAATGAGTGTATCGGTTTTAAGTATTCTGGGAATGAAATCACGTTGTATTTCCTCCACCTTATGTATATCGGACAGGCGTAAGTCGGAAAATCAGAGCGATTAGTAATTCACAACAGGTCTTACACATGGTTCTTAAAGAATGATTTCAGATTCATTTTGAAAGAGGCTACGAAAAATGAAGCCAAGCAATTTCCGCATTTTAGATGCTTTTCTTGAGATATGTCCGAGATGTTAAGACTATGTGAGTAATGTACCCCTAGGTCAGTTACTCATGTGAGTTTGGGAAATTTGTTCTGGCTTTATTTTAATGGATGTGTCTCCAAAACACAGCCAGCCGCATTTCTCTGTATTGAGCTCCAGCCTTCAGCACTTGTTGGATTCATGTTGGATTGTTTGCACAGCAATGCATACATCGCAAATGTCAGTTTTATAGATGACTTTTAAGTCATCAGCGTAAAGGTAGGTCTTACCTGTGTTAAAGCGCTTGCATATATCGTTGGTGTAGATTGTAAAAAGCAATGGACTCGAGACACTACCCTGCACAACACTACTGGTTGTTGGTCGAGGTGTAGGTGCTGTAGGGCTAATTTTGGTTGTTTGGTATCTTTTCGTGACAAAGACTTGATCTATTGCAATAGGGGTTTTTTTTAATTCCCTTTGACTGTAGTCTGTTGATTAGGAGGTTATGAGGCACTTTATCATAGGCCCTCTTAATATCTAAATATAGTATAAGTGCTAATTTCTTTTCACCACAAATCAGAGTAACGTCGTTAAGGAAGTTCATCAGGCATCTACTGCAGGGCATTGTTTTGATGAAGCCGTGTTTTGACGGGTCTGTTAGATCTTCCTTAGGTAGGTGATCAGATAACTAATTTTGTGTCACTTTTTTCATTATGCATAATATGACTGAGCTGATCTGTAGTTTTCGGCCAGGATATTTCTAGTCTGTATTCCTCAAGGATACTGAGAATTAAAGATTTTACAAAAAAGCTGTGAAGACAGGATTTTCCACCTCAGATACATCCAAGTCCTGTCTTTTGAACAGAATCGCTGTATTTTTCGTGTTGTTTTGACCAATCTGGGAAAAGGGCTGTCTATTCCGAAATCATTTCACGTTATTCTTATTGATAATATTGCAACTACGTAGTCGAACAATTTTCCATCGTTTGATGCGCAGAATTTCGCTCTGATGGATTAGGTAACTAGTTTTAACAGAGTTTGGAGTATATATGTAATCGTTTTTTACAAGTGTATTATTGTAAGTTTCCTCCTATACATCACCGAATCGCGAACTAGTACTTTGTAAAATAAATTCGTGATAACTGCTTATTCATCCCTCTTTGTTGGAAGTTTGCATTTAGCCAGTATTCAGAACTTCTATAAACTTGGTTCAGTTGTGATTATCGTCTAGGTGATTCGATAGTGCAGGGAGAGTCCATCACATTTTATCAGTACCTTGGAGGCGAAAAAATATGCAAAATAGTTTTAACGGTGCCTAACTAGTAAACTGAAGAGCAGGTGGCGTTTCTGAGGTACGTTTATGTCGTGGAGACGAACTCGATTCCATTATTATTATTATCATTATTATTATTATTATTATTTCTGAAGGTCTGTGCACCTTATTTAACATTAACTCCTTTCGATTTTCATTGTGCCTTATTCGTTTGCTTCAGTATCTCCTTACCAGACTTATGTGGTCTGCTCCATAATTCATCTAAGAAAACTTTAAAATAACTCAGTCTGCGTATATGCTACATGCTCGCAACAACTAGGGGTGATCGCTTAGTAATGAATTGCAAAGGCCTGAGTAAATGTCAGAATATTATAGCTCAAGTATTTATACATTTCCTTATTTTGTACAGGCATTATACTTTATATTTTATATCGAATGCTGGAGGAAAATTGTGTTTGAAAAGATAACCTTGCTCCCCAACTGTACGGTCTGTGATAAGTATAAAGGCTTATTCACTACTAGACTTGTTTCTTCCATAGACAGAACGAGGATTGCCCACCAGAACGAGATTCTTGAGCCCTATTTTGAACAAATTTATCTTCCATTTTGTTCATTACCATTATTACATTTTGTTAAGCCATAAGAGTAAACCTTCTGGTTATCTTCAACATGAAGTTCATCTATATATTTGTATATTGTTCTTTTATCGTAAATATTCGTGTTGTGCTCACTATCTTACCTATTCATATAATATTACTATAATGGATAAATACTACATGTCAAACTCAATCCAAAATGAAAGCCTGGGGGATAAATGTAGCTTATCACCGGTAGAGATAGGGACTGTTATGACTGTGAAAGTTGGACTCCCATAATTTGATCGTAGTGACCCTGCGTTGGTGCCCGCTCAAACAGGACATTATTTCGCAAGGCACAACATTAAATCCGAGGGAATTCGCTATTAAGATTTAGGATCTATCATCCCTCTTTCAGTTGCCAAAGAAGTCCGTGACTTAATTTTAAGTCCGATAACATCACAGTCATACACCATCTTAAGACGAGAGATAATGAACCGTTTATCTTTATTAGACAGCCAAAAAGTCCAGAAGCTATTCCAAGGAGAAACGTTAGGTGCTAGGTCACCGTCCCAGTTTTTCAGTCACTTTCAATAATTACTGGGCGACAAAACAGTGGGAGGAGTAGTCCCAAAACAAAGATGGATACAAACTCTTCCATGTTAAGTGCACAATACACGGACATCTCTCCATCACAATTACCCGTTTTGTAGACAGGCTAATAGAAAAAGGTACCCCAACTGGATCACGCACGATACACCATACATAAAAAGGAGAATCACCAAAAGTCCCAATCACAGCAGAACTAGTTGCGAGTGTTAAAAGTCTCGCAGATGCTGTCAACAAAATGCAAATAGTTCATAAAAAGAGGAGCTAGTCACCTCAACAGCCGAGATCCAAATCACAGGACGGGTTTAGAAACTCCCCCAGTTACATTTCAATCTGTCGACAAAACTAAAATCGCGACGTTTGGATAGAAAACATTGATGCTAGGTTTGGGGTTAAGAAGGCAATTCCCTTGTGTTTGTAGTGTAGCTCATTTAGATCTGGCAATACTAGGGAAAGACTTTTCGAGAGATAAGAATTTCTGGTCCATACTAACGACATTTGGTAGTGAATGAAACTCCAACTTACAAGAACGGTAGAGAAAGTCACATTACAGTTCCCTCAACGGTCAACCGGTACCAGCTAAGTGCTCAATACATCATGTCCACGTTTTTACAAACGGCTTATACGGTATCAACATATGTACTGAAATCGATTTAAGCAGGGCCTATGACGACATCCCAGTAGCTATTACTACACTTTTTGAACTGTTCCAGTCTTTACAAATGTTATTCGGCCTGAGCAATGTGGTACAAACATTTCAAAGGTTCATGGATAACCTAGTTCGAGACATGCTATTTGCACAGGGGTATATAAACGATTTATAAATTTCCAGTCCCTATTTACAATCACACGAATAGCATTTGAGGGTATTGTTAAAATGGCTGGACGAAAATGCAATGAACATGCATCAAATTAAGTTCATTTTAAGGGTTCGAAATCTAGAATTTCTGGAACACTAAATAAGCCGAGAAAGGATCACACTGATCAAGAAATTGATGGACAGGGCAGGGACTTCATAGATTGTATGGATCACAAATCACTAACCACTCCATTGAAAGCTTAAGACTCAATTATTCTCCTTGAGAAATCCGACACAACTATGCATCCTAGTTCACCATTGATATTCAATAAGTCAAAGTTCAGGACAGTCAGACTGCAGATGCATTATCTCGGCCAGAAACGAACATGGTACAACAAGCTACAGTAAATTTCGAAGCGTTGAGAAACAACCACAAAGGGCATCGAAAATTGTAAAACCTACTTGCAGTAAAGAACTCCAGACTCAAACTAAGACAGCTATCACGACTCATTCAAGATATTTTGATTTGCAGTGACATGATCAAGGCCATGCGTCAACCTTTAGTCCTCTGAAACATAAGAAAATTAATACTTATTAACTCACACACTTTGTCTCATCCTGGCGTGAAATCTATTACCAAGCCAATCAGTGCCAGATATATATGGCCAAATTTATAGAAAGGAAGTAGACAAGTGGGTAATGTTTAACCGTCTCAAATATTCTTCCATAAGAGTTTTCCCATATCCAGACGCACATTTTGTTCATTAGCCTCATCATATAATAAAACCAGAGTCAGATCAACGGCTGCTAAACTGGTGAGCTCTACTCCAATTTGACCGCAACCTGCCAATGTACCTCGAGGAAGTACCTTCCTAACTCTACGAATTCAAGGAGCGAACTCAACGTACCCGACTCTGTCGACAAGCAATACAGACGACCTGACCTCTCAAATCCGAGGCTGGCAACGAAGCCTGTCCAGCAATGGCATGGACATGCTCAAATCGCATTGTCTTTTCGGTACTTTGTTCATGCACCGATTCTCCTCTTCGGATCTATCCATTATGACCACAATTATCATATTCTCATGATCAGATTATCGTGGAATCGCTACCAGTGTTCATAGTGAGACTAAATTATGTTTACTCAGTTATATTACTCATTCATTGAATTATAATATTATGAACAGTACATTCACAGAATGACATTCGCAACTCACTGGACTACTTTTGTACTCAGCAACGTAAAATGTCTGTGTCAAATGGATTGTGTTTTCAAAAATGTAAGTAAAAATGTCCACAAAAACTCACACTTTAACATTATGCAGATGTTCCAAGTGATAATAGATTAGTAATACAATGTCTATTTTTAGGAAAACTATGTTGAGATTGTGATGCAGCTGTTTTGTGTTGGACCGTCATATGAATTCACCACTTACTCCTGGATGGCCCTTCATGTTTGATTTTTAACACTCATGTTATTATTATCCTAAATAAGCCTGACGGTTGTAAACGGATGAAAACCATACCAATCTGGGAGTTACTTAAGACAAGTTGGTGTTGTGCTAGGAATCAACAAATTTGCTGAATCTACGCAGTCAACAGAATAACGAATATATTATGACAAGTTGTAATTGGTAAAAGAGACTGTTCAAGTTAGCAGCTGGCCATGATTCAAACGAATGTTTACAGGTATCTCTACTGTTTCATTTTGATAATTGCATAAATATTAAGATATGCCAAGCCAGAATACTTCATGCTAGCTTGCATGTACTTTTAGAGTATACAGTGTACAACTAAAACATTCCACCACAATGCGTAGATTAAATTTTTAAATCTCATGAAAGACAGGAAGAAAAAATGGATACAACAAAACCGGATTATTTTGGCAGATAAGTATCCTCCAACATCTTGTCACTATAAAAAATAAGTAGGTATCATCAACAAACATCTCTGTCAAACCATAAATACTCGGATAGATACTCAAATAACTTATTGACTTCAGGAATAATCTTCATATAACGTATTTGAAATCATTGAAGTTATAGAATGTACGCGACATTAAAGGATTGTTCATGAATTTAGTAACTTTATATGATCACCGAAAAACTTTGATTTGAATGAATATTAAACAGGATTAAATAAAACGGTGGTTACAGCCAAGTACACGGATATATGCAAATGTAAAAATCGATACACTTGAACCATCATACTAGATTATCAAAGCTCTCACAGAAGTTAGATATGTTGCGACCAAGATCCATCTGAAATGTCTGTAATATTTTTTGCTACAAAGTTGGTTTAAAGGAATCAACCTATTAACTATTGTCCTTATTCTGTTAATTGGGTATTGAATAACGTTAATTGAGGAAAATTCAAAAGACAGGGTCTTTGCTCTGTTAAGATGTCTACGGAATCAGATACGGTAGAACGCCTTAATAGCTACGTTAAGCTTAATGTCGGTGGATGTTTGTTCTACACCACAATTGGAACGCTTTTACGCGGTGGTACAATGCTTACTGCAATGTTTAGTGGTCGGATGGAAGTTAAAACTGATGATGACGGTAAGTTTATTAACTGGGTTTGTCGTTTTACATACTTAGAACATACAGTCTGTGCATATTATACTTGTCGCCTAAATAAAATGTGTTGTGATTAACGGTTTTCGCAAATGGAATTTCCTAAATGAAACTGACGGCTGTAAAGGGGCTAAAACCGTACTCATAATGACGTGGTCATAACTAGATCACGGTTGAAAACTTGGAAGCATTGGACGGCGGCCTTATCCTAGTATGGGACTCCCCAGCAATTCTAACTGACGACACCGACCACAGGAGTCAGACTCTCGACCTTTAATCTCGCGTGCAAGAGCTTAACCTTCAGGTCACTGAGCCGGAATCGGACAGTGCATAAGTCTATGTGTAATCAGTCCAGTATTTTGCACAATCATCCGCTGTTTTTGGTCAGTACTTTCCTCTTACCTGACAAGGCTAAATCTTACTGACCATGACTTCTCATTAGAATTTCGGAAATCTCTTTTCAAACTAGTGCATGATAATTGTCAGTATGGAGTTGTGGAGATAGTAGGATTTTACTGAAATCATGAAGCAAGCGATGAATGAGGGTTGCACAATATCACTCAGCTAAAGACAGATATTAACATCTTTAGATGCCGGCTCAGTGGTATGGAGGTTTAACTGTTGCTTTCTAGACCAAAGGCCATTGATTCGATTCCCATTTACGGACTTAGGTAAAAGGGATTTCTGGGGAGTCCCATACTGAAGTGAAACGGCCATCTAGTGCTTCCAGGTTCTCAGTGGTGATTTAGATATGACCAACTCGTGATTTCAACGTGGGTGACAAAATCTAGCATAATCTTATGATGCTAAAAAGGACAAAGCTCACTAATCTGTTCATTATGATACTCCTGAATTAAAAAGCTTGAGGTTTCTTTGTCCATCGTCTTACCAACTAGTGACAAAGCAACTAAAGCAAGGATCTTTCGTGTTTTAGGTTTGTACCCTCCATCACCGTCTTCGGTCTGGGCAATCGGGTACTATTATTATCCGTTTGACTCAAGTCTAAGCAACTGGTGAACACTTTAAATCAATAAACGTGGAGAACCCACAGAAAAGTTAAGTAAAATATATATGGTTACCAAGCAAGGGCTTGCGTGATTCGGATTAGTCGAATTGTCAGTGGGTTTAATTTATTCACTACCTTATCTAAAACTATGCACTGGCCGTAGCATTTCAGGTTAAGAAGTGCTTTGTTCTAAAGCTTTTGTTCGAAACATTCGACTTACTTTATTAACATCCACACTTAACGAAGCTATTGTGTACCTAACTCGTACAGAGAAAAGTACTCTTAGATATCAACTGAAAATTCAATATTTCCATTACATTTTTAAACAGGATAAAGCCTATAAAATTTATAGATTGTCTCTTCAGCAAGCATCACCCAATGTAAAGGGTCTATATGCTTTTTCACTACTTAACTGTACAACTATCAGTACTCGAATAAAGTATTTAGTGATGTAATGTGCTCTCACAACACTTGTAATAAGAACTCAAAACTAAGCTGCTAGTTATAAGCAGTCTCCATATTAAAATATGTGCCAGCAGTCTGATGCTAATAAATGTTTATTGTGTAATCTTAACAGATGGTAAGTTTCTAGCCTGGTTGAAAACAAGTTTCTTCTAATTTCGTTTTTCCATGGCTCCAGTTAGACATTGTTTATTCTACAACCTAAGAATTTGTTACTTAAGTTGGCTTTCTCTTCCACTAACTGACATGACATTCGTCTTCACAGACTAGAAAAATCGTCTGTTGAAAATTTCGGAGTGAAAGGTGCCAACACTTCAACCAGCGTTTTTTCAGTCTAATTGTCAGTTTTTAAATGCTTCGAGAGATAACCTGTTCAGTCCCATCTCTAATTGGTTAAATTTACGTGCATTTTTAACTACCGCGATAAACAATCAGTTGGTCTTTCAGTATGGGAGTCCCATTTCCAATTAAAAGCCACGGCATTTAGACAATACTTAACTTGGTGGATACCAGTAATTTGTCAATCAGTGAAAAAAGAACATTTTAAACGAGAGTACCCAAAATTCGAAAATGCATTTAATCAAGCACATGTTTGCTCTTTCGATTCTATACTTAGTTAAAGCATTCATTAAAAATTTCATAATGAAACCAAAAAAATAAGTCTCAAGGGTGTTTCTGTGGAGGGACCAGCTAATTTTTCGTAAATATGACAATATTTCCAACTCTAAAAGAAGCCGTTAATGCCATCGGTCTGTCGTTATATAAAAAGCTTTATTATAAAAATAAAGCTTTCTTTAAAAGCAACATACAAAACAAAACGTTTTATTTAAAATTGAAGATAAGATCCTTTTTACTTCCACACAAAATAGTGTCTACAGGTTAGGTTCTGTCGATTGCGATGTGTTCTTCGTTGGAGCCTTCCTGTGAAATCTCGAATCGTGCTAAAGAACACTCGAGCTACTCAAAAAGACCTAATAATTCTGTAGAGCTGGAGAATTTACAAATCAAATCACCAATAGCGGTACATAATATTTTCAATAACCACCAAATATATATTGAAATTATCAAAATAATTCAGGGGAGGTTTTTAGTCCTTTTGGCCTCTACAGGAAAGAAGCCTGACTCTTCATCCAACCTGTACTGCTTTCCTAAACAACCACATTTTCGCACAATCTACACACACTCAACATTTTAACTTCACTACTTCATATTATAAATCATGCATTTTGTATACCCGCATCATAAACACATTGACATCTCGTACAGAATCAGCTTGACCATAAATAACATGACATTGATATGTTCAGGACTGTTGTAATGTTGACTGTATTAAAAATGTTTTACTTTGTTTACTTTATACTATTCAAATTTTTATGGATTTATTTCGGTTATTTATTTACTTACTCTTAAGAAGTAACTTAAATTAAGTCACAAGAAGTCAGAAATACAAATTCCTACGCATCGGGATATCATGAAATATCTAATTGTTATTAATTTTCTGCCTAACACCCAATTTATTTTAAACTGTCAAGTTCAACCTTGGCTTGGGTACCTTATGTTGAATTAACGCTTATTATTCAATGACACACAAAAGCTTGGCTTATAGAAACCAGTCAATATTACAAGACAGAGCGATATTTATGAAAATTAGAAACTTGCAAATATGACATCAGATGGGATAATTAGTCGCAAAAATATATGTACAACCTTTATTTAAACCATCTTGTTTGTTGGTGACGTATGACAATGCATTTTCTACTCACATTGCGGTCCTGGACATTTATTTTGCTGGTTAAATGCAGCAGTTGTGTATATTAATCTGTCTTATAACTAGAGGGTATCGATCTTTATTTTCAGGCTGGGTACTTATTGACCGTAGTGGCAAACATTTTGGGACGATCTTGAACTATATTCGAGATGGTTCGGCTCCCCTGCCAGAAAATAGGAAGGAGTTAGAAGAATTAGCTATGGAAGCCAAATATTTCTGCGTTAAAGGTTTATGCTTAGCATGTGAAGAGGCGCTTGGTCGTTTGACAAATTACGAAGACCTCCAAAATCGTGCAACGATTATTATCGTCAAATGTCCTAATGCAGCAAAATCCTTGCTTTCTACTACCCGTAAGGTAAGTATAGGTTATTCGGGTAACTTTAAATATGTTGCAATTCTATGAGTATGAACGACAATATTACTAACATGCTATGAAATTCACTTTAAATTCGAACTGGTTTACGAGGATATATGCCATACAGCCTTTACTGTTCATTACTTGTTTAAATAGCTATATGATGTAATTGCTTTGCCTACAAATGTACAGTTATTTACTTTAAAACGAGTAATTGGGAATGTATCGGTTCTTTTTTCACTCTTTAGTTGCAGACGCAACATATCATTTAACCCACACACATCTTTTCATCATATTTTCTGGCATTGTGACAATGCATATTCTTGAAGCTTCTAGTCTGGATATCAAAATACTAAGGACCATGTACTCGAGGACTTACAGTTGTACAAGAAGAATTAACTTAAGTTTTATTTAGGGATGTTTTAAGACTCAGGTACCTTCTCTTTCTCTCTTATGGAACAGATATAACTCAGTCTAGTACATGATCATGTACATAGTTATTCAAATGCAGTATTTGGTACTGATAGGACCTGACGACATGCATTGGCATTCTGGAATGATTCGTTAAATGTTTGTAATTCAACTTAGTCGCTGATGAAGGTAGTGAATTCTAGCTTTTCCTGGATTATTCTTTTGCTCACAGACACTGGTTGACTTAAATTTCATCAATATGATTAAAAGTGTACAATCTTTTAGAAATCAAGTTCTAACCTAGGGACGTTCTATATTTTAAAATCTATTTATAGAGTGATCCAGTCAGACAGTGTTAATGCGTCGTAGTATTTCACATGTGTGAAATTTCCTAAACTCCACTCACTTTCCTAATGGAGCTGTATAATAACCTTGTCTTATACAGTCTATTCAGCTAATCATATTAAAGATAATTTTCCATCTACGTCACGAAAACCTCAAGTTCTGTGTTGTTGATCTCGTTATTTATTTATGTCTTTCAATTTCGCACAATCATATGATTTTGGGATGGTGGAGATTTGTAGCTCAAGTGGATAATCTTGGTGAAGTTTCTTTCTCTGGGCTGGATGGTTTGGTCGTGGAGCTTTCATTATTCTTCTGAACAACATCAGCAGAAGTGAAGTATGCTCATTTCTCCACATATGTCTCTCACCTTGTCCTGCTGAACATCAAATAGTGGTCGAACTCCATGACATATATTCGCTTATATTACACATGTAGACACATATTTGACTGGGAAAATATTGCGATTTCGGGTAGACGGAATAATAAGAACACCAAGGAATTTTCATAAGCTTGGCATTGAGGTCAATTAGCACTCAACAAACACATTAAAATCGATCCAATCTATCAACCAATCTGAAAAATCAGGGACAAATATAGGACCAAGAATCTGATCAAACGGCGATACGATCAAAATAAAGAGGCAGATAATGGTGGGTTAAAGGTCAACAATAATCAGTCAAGATCAAGGTTGACAGGACAAGTTGAGAGCCATTTGTGGAGAAATGCGAATTCTTCACATCTACACGAAGTTTGTGATGCTGATGTTGTTGAAAAGAGCGATGACGACTTCAAGACGAAACCACCCAGCTCAGATAACGAAACTTCCGGTGATAGTACACAATTTACGTAGCCTTCAATATTTCTGTGATGTTTTAATATATGCACTAATAAAAACCTGTGTTCTTACTTATATACTGATGCTAAATTATTGTAACTGCTAAAACTTATTTGTTAAGATATAGTATATATTTAAAACCAAAGTATTAGTTTTACAATGATATACGAAACTATTACGGCAAGACCTTTGCCTCTTTATAAGTAAATTATTACCTCACATGTAGTTTTTCGACAAAATGAGAATGTATGCTATTTGCTAATTTCCGGGTTAATGTTTCCTGTTTTTTCGTCCTTTCTAGCCTGTTGTTAAACTTACAATGAACCGGTATAATAATGTATTTTCATACACAAGGTAAGTCCTAATACAAAAGATTTTGCGCGATGATTTCGTTAGTACTTGTTATTGGTAACCTTACACTTGTCTACTGACAGTTTTCGTCATATCCAGCCATATAGTTAGCACCAGTTACCTGTAAAGTTAAATAAACTGCTGTTTTATATTAACCAATACTATTTATATGGTTTTGATCTTAATGCCTACTATAATGTATTCGTATACTTAGTGTAATAATAGAGAAACGTGGTAACTTAATATGTTTGTTTTCAGCTTAGCAACCGGATAGATAATGGTTTTAATCTTTAGAGGGAATAAAAAAGTATATCCCAATCATACAAAGTGAGTATGGACACTGTTTTACAAGGAAAGGACTATCATATTTAAATTGGTCTGAATTTTCTGGAGCATGTCGTTATAATGAAGCAACAAATTTAGTGCGTAATTTCTAAGCAAGCCAATAAAATATTTAAGTTGGCTATCAAACATAACTGGGGTTTGTTTCAAATCTACATAGATGGTTCGCTTAGTTATTGCGAATTCAACTTAAATGTTTCTATCCTCACATTAGGTTATTTTGACGTAATAATTTATTACTCTTAACACATTTCTTACTAACCGTGCTATGCAGTTTTGATTGTACACCATATATTTCAGGCTTCATAAAGAAGCCTATCTGGTTACACATTTCCATTGCTGATGGATGTTAATATCTACTTAAATGATTTTAAATTTATTTCCCTCACTACCATATATACAGTAATTCACACGACAATCTTTTGCGCAATATTGAATGTCTGGAGAAATATGCTCTAATGTTTCCTGCTACTGTGTTATTCGTAAAGGATGTTCGTGATAAAAGTGAACAGAATGAAATTTGTGAATGGAGCTATTACTGTCGTGGTCATCGTTTGAAAAGTATAGATTGTATAGCTATTCACTACTCATCAGAAAAGCGTCTTATAAAGGTAAATCATGTGACTTATTTGTGAATTTTTGCGACTAATAATCTTGAGTTTTCAGTAGGTTGTGATTCAGGCAACCGAACTGAAAATATTCTGTCACAAGTTTAGATCATTCTAGATATACAATACTCTAAATGGCCTAGGAGTGTCCTCAAAACTTACAAGGACAATTATTGGATGAAATTAAATTTATTTGTTAATGTAGTGCCTTACATACATTCTTTAAGTTCGAATGAAATGTGTGAGATTATTTACTAACAGGGCTCAAACTCTCCTTTTACATATAGTGGTTCGAACTAAGAACCATAATTTTCATATTTGGAAGTCTTTCGCATTGCTTTATCCTCTCCACATATGAGCAAACTTAACAAGTGATTTTGGGTTGATCCTTTCCAACTCCCGCTATTTAGTGACTCTTCTTATCTTTGTTTCGTTTGTTTTGCGTGTCTACACTCTTCGTCTTTCAACTTTTAGTGATATATTCATTTACTTTAGATGTTGAAATATTGGTTTGTTGTAGTGCACTTTCACTGCTACTAAGTACATAAAAGTCGTGCTTAACAAATTTGCAATTTTCCTTGAAATTCCAACTAGCGCTCATGCTCTTTAGTTTCTACTCTTAAAGACCTAAACATTATTTCACCCCCATATTAGTCTTTCATTTGTGTACTTATTTTAGTTTTCTATTTTACATGGGGCCAGGACTCAGTATCTTAATTGTGTGAGTACAAATCACCTACTTTGGTTTGGGCAGCCGTTAACGTTTACCTCCAAGCAGTAGGTATATATGGTGTTTTATTAAGCATTGCTGGTGAAATACAAACTTTGCGGTAACAGATCGTCTCTGTGCATCCATAATAAAAATTCATAAATACTAAGCAATCCTTTACTTACAAAATTATTTCAGCAATTTTGATGGAAGGGTCGATCAATTTAGAAGTTTATTAGACATATCAGTTTATTGGTACTCCAAGTTCCGTAGTCTGAATCCTTCATGTTTTTCCTGCACTTCACAAACACTCGTGAGTTAAACACAAATTTTAATACAAAAATGTAGCGGCTTTAAATGGTGTGAAAAGAACTATTTTTTGAAATCAGCATATGTAGTTCATACCTGGCAAGACTTCTCTAAACAATCAAAAATACCAAATTTACAAAGACTTTAACACCTGATGTTTATTAAATAACCATTTTCTTACTGCATATTTATTAGCTTTTGGTAATAATTAGTCTGCCTAATTTATATTCACGTATAGTTTACTTTTATTTACACAAACGTTATCATTTTTTATACATTTATCCAGGTAGAATTCCCAGAATCACGTATTCATGAAGAAATGCTCTCACTACTTTCAGTCGCAAGCCGAAATTTGAGTGATTCAGAGCTTCTGGAAATTGCCATGCGGAAAGCGAATTGTGTTTCAGGTTCAGCTAGTGGTGCGTTAGTCAGTTACTCTGTTTCCGGAACTACTAGCAACTCGCAACATGAAGCAGAAGATCAAGATTTAGATCAATCCTCCACCAATACCACAACAACAGGAAGCCTATTGAACACTTCAATACCACCTGCACGACCAGCCACGGCAACTGGTCTTCTAGACAACCATGGAAACCCACTTAGTGCTGGTAGTTCTCGGAGTTCGTTCGGAGCATCAGTTCGCCTTGGGAGGCGCTAATATTTGCTCATTGACTTCTTTTGAATTGTAAAGCGCCAAAAATGACTGCAGATGACAATCAACAATATATATCATTTTTATTTTGTCGCTGTGTGCGAGAAAATCATTGGCTTACCTACCTACTGCATTACAACTTTGTTCACTGCGTTTATGTACACACACTTCTAGGTAATCGAATAAACCGGAAGCCCCGGCAAAGTGCAATCCATGAATGAAAAATATTCAGTAACTAGTGCATATTTTATGTGACAAAGTACATCAGGAACCAAAATGTGATATTGTTTTTTCTTACTTATAATTTTTTCAAAAATGAAACCCAAACTTGGAAAACCGTTTCTTTCAATAAAGATAAATACATCAAATTGGACACCTTATGTTATCTTTTGTAGATGTTTTGCCTTCTTTATTCTGTTAAAGTTATGCATCTATCCGATTTTCCTATAAATTATTTGAGTAAACTGTGCCAGTGCGTAAGGTTCAGACTACACAACAATGAAATTAACATGTATTGAGCATTTTTGCAGAAAACTGCTACTAATCATAACTGTACAAGATCTCCCTTACCCAACAGACGATAAATTGTAATTACTAAAAATAAAATTTCCTCACAGAAAGACGCTTTTAAATGTAATAGAAAACAAGATATTTTTATGAGAAATATAACACGATTGTACGGCAAAGAGCCTTTCAAAGATATAATAATCACTAACTCCACTACTATCAGCAATTATCCAATGGTACAGCTTACGTAAAATACACAGAGCGACTGCTGTAAGATCGCTATTAACTCCGGCTTCGAACAATCTCGGTCATTGAGATGCTTGATATTTATGGGTCAACTCAAAGGATTGAAATGAGTCGGTAGATCCTGATCTGGCACATTCTTTATAAAAGTACCGATATTGACTAATGGTGAGATTGTTATTCGTGAACAACCTTCGGCCGCGCCCAAGTAATCTTTGCAAAATTAAATGTAAATGAGCGCAAAATTGGAATCAGGATAAGGAGTTAGGAATAGAGTTACGGCTCACATCACAAACTGAGATTAGCTATGGTGCCAAAATGCTATTTGGCCAAATAAATGTGGATGTGTTTCGCGCCAATATCCAGAACTCTCCTAAATTTGATTAGTTTGCTCATAAGTTATAGTCTCACTCTGACTACCACTCTCAAAACCACTATTGTTTGGTATAGCAGCTACTAAAAAGTCATACGTAAGATGTATTTACCTAACCTTTCACAGCGAAACTAACTTCGTATCGGTACTAAAGGTAGGTATATATTGTTGGGTAATTTTCTAAACAAGGATAAACTTTCCCCGTTATCTCAGCAATCCTATAACTTCCTTAATGCACTGTCTTTTGTCATATTCCCAATAATTCACTGATGGTAAATGATCAACAAGCTGGATTTCGTAAGGATAGATCGTGCACAGATCAAATCGCAACTCTATGTATCATTGTGGAACAATCAATCGAATGGAATTCATCACTCTACATCAACTTCATCGACTACGAGAAGGCATTTGATAGCGTGGACAGGACGACACTATGGAGGCTACTTCGACACTACGGCGTGCCTGAGAAGATAGTCAATATCATAAGGAACTTCTATGATGGACTAAACTGCCAAATTGTCCACCGACTCGTTTGAAGTAAAGACCGGTGTTAGACAAGGTTGCTTACTCTCACCCTTTCTCTTTCTCCTGGTGATCGACTGAATTATGAAGACGTCAACGACTGGAGGAATGCACGGGATACAGTGAACAGGCAGGATGCAGCTTGACGATTTAGACTTCGCGGATGATCTGGCTCTTCTATCACAAACGCAACAACAAATGCAGGAGAAAACGACCAGTGTAGCAGCAAGACTCTCCGATACAATACAATATGCACCAATCAAATTACACTTGACGGAGAAGCTTTGGAGGATGTGGAAACCTTTACATATCTGGGCATCATCATTGATGAACACGGTGGATCAGATGCAGATGTGAGGGCGCGGATCGGCAAAGCAAGAGCAGCATACCTACAACTGAAAAGCATCTGGAGCTCAAAACAATTGTCGACCAACACCAAGGTTAGAATTTTCAATACAAATGTCAAGACAGTTCTACTGTATGGGGCGGAGACGTGGAGAACTACGAAAGCCATTATCCAGAAGATACAAGTGTTCATCAACAGCTGTCTACGCAAAATACTTCTGATCCGATGGCCAGACACTATCAGCAATAAGTTACTGTGGGAGAGAACAAACCAGATTCCAGCAGAGGAAGAAATCAGGAAGAAGCGCTGGAAGTGGATTGGGCACACCTTGAGGAAATCAGCTAATTGCGTCACAAGACAAGCCCTCACATGGAATCCTGAAGGTCAAAGGAGAAGAGGAAGACCAAAGAACACATTACGCCGAGAAATAGGGACAGACTTGAGAAGAATGAACAAGAACTGGATAGAACTAGAAAAGAAGGCCCAGGACAGAGTGGGTTGGAGAAAGCTGGTCGGCGGCCTATGCTCCATTGGGAGTAACAGGCGTAAGTAAGTAAATGATAGCACAGAGTTTTATCTTTATGGTAGATGTAATATACAACTTAGTTTGAAGATGCCACAATAATCCTGATCAGTGTCTGATTGTGTATGTGACAGTCTTATACGTTGTATTATGGTAGACAATAACACAGATTATGGCATTTCTAGGTGCAGTGGGTCTACAGTGCCACAACGCTTCCCAAAACTGCTTCCAGAGCATCATCGAGGATAATGTTAAGGGGAGATGGTGGTGATGGACAAGAACGCTCATTTAACTCCTGATTGTCAGCAACGCGTTGATGGTTTAATGCTTTTTACTGGATGTTTTGTATAATGCATTGAGAACAACCAACTTCTCAAAAAGCCTTTTTCGAAGATACGGATACGGTCACAGAGCACAGTTTTGTCCAACAAACGGAGAACACTCTTACCTTGAGTTCGTGGAAAATTTGGTTCCATTAGTTTTTTGGGTTGTATCATCTAGTAGTTAACAAGGATATTATTGAAGTAAGAAATAAACCGGAACTGCTACTTGAAAGTTAGCTTATACACATTTTAACACTTTTTGGTGTCAGATTTAAACACAAAGGAATCGAAAACTTTCAAATCAAATTCTGAAGGTTGATGGATATAAACAGTCAGTTAAAGCATTACTTGAACAGTGGGAACAATTATGCTTGAAACTTAAGAGTTATGCAAATTAAATAATGGGTTAAAGTAAAAACAATTACAGAGAAGAACGCTTTTATTAATTTACAAATTGGTGTACGTTTACGTGGTTTATTCCGTGTTGGATTCAGTTTTAGTCTCAGGCTGTGTATAATGTCTGTATTCAGGTTTCAGCTCCCACATATTTTTGTGTGGAATGTGAGTGTTAAAGATAGCAATTTCCTTCAGTATCTCTGTAAGATAAGCCTGAGAGTAAAAAAAGATATATCATGCACATGAAAAACTGAAACTAAATATTTTAGTTTATAGAAAACTAACGAAACAAATTAATTGGTTTCGTGAATATTTCCAGATTAATATTCGCTAATATGAGAGTACGTGAACGACATGTCTAGGTTTTAAAACAAATTAAACACCTTGCATCTACTTCAAATGTGTTATGTTATGGAGTTATTACTATTTTATGTTTCAATTTTCATTACGTCAATGAAATGTGGATCCAACGTTAATTAACTAAGAATTAACATTAAATAAAATACTCTTCAGATACAGATAAACTCTTGTTTTGTGAACACGTTTTGTTAGCATTAGTACCTTAAGGATGACAATATGAATTGTCTTTATGAATGGTATTAATAATATTTGTTTCCGATTCTCGACGTAGTGTGTTCTTTGGCCTTCCCCTTTTCCGTTTCCCTTCAGTATTCCGAGTTAGCGCTTGCCTCGTGATGCACTTTGATGATGTCCTATCTTTCTCTAGCGTCTTTTCCTAATTTCCTCTTCAGCTGGAAGCTGGTTTATTCTTTGCCATATTGTGTTGTTGCTTATGGTATTCGGCCAACGGACATTGAGTATATTGTGTAGACAATTGTTTATAAATACTTGTACTTCTTTGATGGTTGTAGTAGTTCTCGAAGTTCCAGCTCTGTACAGTAGAAATGTCCTGAAACTGGTATTGAAGATTGCGACTTTGATGTCGGCCCACAGATATTTTGAGTTCCATATGTTCTTCAACTGTAGGAATGCTGCCCTTGCTTTGTCGATCCTTACCTTTATGTCTACATCAGATCCTCCTTGTTCATCTATGATGATGTCCAGGCACGTGAAAGTTTCGACTTCTTCCAGAGCTTCTCCATCAAGTGTGATTGGGTTGGTGTTTTTCGTATTGTATTTGAGGATCTTGCTTTTGCCCTTGTGTATGTTGAGGCATACTGATACAGAGGCTTCTGCTACATTGATTGCCTTGACCTGCATTTGTTGGTGTGTATGGAATAGAAGGGCTAGACTATCTGCGAAGTCAAAATCGTGTAGTTGCATACAAGTTGTTCATTGTACTCCGTGCTTACCCTCAGATGTGGTGGTCTTCATAATTAAGTCAATCACCAGAAAAAAGAGAATGAATTCCGAATGATGATGACGATCTTTTCAGCTACACCAGTGTCGTAGAGGGTTCCATAAGATTCTTTTATCCACGCTGTCAAACGCCTTCTTACAGTCAAGGAAGTTAATGTACAGTGACGAGTTCTGTTTAACTGATCGTTCAACGATGATGCGGAGTGTTGCGATTCGGTCTGTGCAAAACTGATCCTTACGGAATCCGACCTGTTGATCTCGAAGCTGGACGTCTACTGAATCTTTCAGTCGGTTCATCGACACATTGTTGGAAACATTTCCTGGTACCGAGAGTAGTGTGATGCCTCTGTAGTTTTCACATTTGCTCAGGTCTTCTTCCAGTCTATCGACACTTGTTCCTCCCCCAAAATCTTCCTGAATAGAGCATGTTTGCAGTTGATGCCAAATCTGACTTCACTACTTCAGCTATTATTTTGTCAGGTCCTGATGCCTTCCCACTCCTGGTTTATTTGATCGTTGATGGAGCAACAGCTATAAGAACGTCTATGTGTATTGCTTCGATGTTTGGTGGGTTCAGTAGGATTGGCTGAATGAAGAGTTCATCAAAGTGCTCTACTGACCTGTTCCTCTGTTCTTGAACCTCAGTGATTGGTTTGTCTTCTTTGTACTTGACTGGTTGCCCTGGTTAGCTATATCTCCCTGCTAGTTTCTTTGTTGTCACATGGTTGTCTCGTATTCCTTTCTTTAGCAATTTCTTCAGATGTCGCTGCCAGGTCTTCTACGTATTCGTGTTTGTCAACTCTAGGGCTTTCCTTCACTTGCTTGTTTGCTTCGGTGTATTCAGCTTATGCCTTGACTTTGTTCCTGTTCGGATGTCGTCCGTTGCTGTCTTCTTGTTCTTGCCTTCTTGAATCCTGTCATGGTTATCAATAGTAATTCATTTTTATGACGGTGCTTTTGCTTGTAAACGCAAGATAAACAAAAGAAAGATAAGGGTGAAAACACATCAATGATTACATGTACAATAAATTGACGGAATTAATCTAACATCTAAAAATAATGAATATAAGAAACACAGTTTTCACCAATAATTACTGAGGATTTTGACTAGTTATAAGCAAACGACGATGAGGCATACGCGACCAATCATCGAACGTGATAACAAGTTAGTAGATTCTATGGTTTAAAGGTATTTTGAATTTCATCAGGCTTATGATTAAAACTAACAAAGATATAGGGAATAAATTATGTAGATGCTTACCAATGGTTGCTTAGTAAGTACAACCAAATCTTTAATAGAATAATATTGATGTCTTTCGAAAGCTTTGAACAAATCTTGCAAAACGTCTTCTTTTTCACGTCTAAGATTTTTACCCTCAACCTTTTTCCGATTTTCATACTCGATCTAGAAAACAAATATTTAATGATTTTAATGCAAAACAGTAAGCGGAAATTTAGCAGTGATCAATATACAGTAACGCACAAACGCAAATAAATTAGTTGATATTATAGACGGTGGTTATTGACGTGAAGTTTCCGATGAGATTTTAAGTGGACAAAAGTATAGAGAGTGTAAAGTCAGTAATCTATAAGAGTAAATAAGATTAAAAAGACTATCCCTTTGAATTATCACGGTAAAAATGGATTTGTCACATAAAACAAGCTGTTATCTATGGCCTATCAACTAATTAACTAACACTGTGAGGTGACAGTTATTAACCAGTCATATCAGTAGCAGTCACTACCATTTAGGTCAGGTTACAACTCTGACAAATCAGTCTTGTTTCTAGTCTTCACATAAACTGAAGTGGGCATATTTCACGAGTCACGCGTATCAGTTCCAAATTGGAATTGGTAGCAACATAGTATAATCAAGTAGCAGATGGAATTTGAAATATGAAATCAACAATTTTGTAAATTATTATGGATACCAGTGAGAAATTAAGTCAGTGGATAAGGATCTGAAAATTTTGCCAAGTGTCGGTTAAATTACACTTCCTGTTTACGAGAATAATAAGAGAAAAACATAGCACTGATATCTCAAAACTACCGTTGTCAAAGCTTTTACGGTTGAGATAACATTCGAGTTCAAGATATATATTATCACTATACCATAATAATACTTTGTTTCAACAGTGAATAGTAAGTTGCGAAGAAAATAGACGGTAACATAAATGAAATAAAGAAAATATACTTACATTGTTGACATGATTGGAGACTGGTTTGTAGTTTCTTACTGGTTCATAAAGGAGACAGACTTCATGTCGCGGTCGATTCTTTGCTTTGAGCTTGGGGAAATAAGAAAATACACAACTAGGACAGGAGTGAGAGTTGGGTATTTTTAGAATTAGGATGGACACAAAATAGGACATTCAAGACTAGGAAATACTCTATGAACCTACATAAGCTTACACATGAAATCAAAGATTTTTACCTGTTGAGCTTTGAGCATCATATATCTTGTATTAGGCGGTGGTCTGCATTCAGCTCGACTATTAACACGGCCAAACAAAGATAGTCGCCGAGAGTAACGAGCGTACGGTTTATTTGAGAATGGAGAAGGTGGGGCTGCAGAGGAAGTTAAAGTTGTGTTGCTCGTCGAAGATGGGAACAAGTTGGTTTGAGCACATCCAAGGTCGTCTTCACATAAGATTATGAGTTCTTGTCCAGATATAGCCCCAGGACGCCTTTGAACTGTCGAACTTGGAGTAGTCTGGCCTGGGCGAGCAGTCCCAGGTGTACTATTTGATGAAGCAGAAGTTTGAATCAGAAACTGATGTTCCTGAAAATATAAACGAAATTTCATTCACTAGTCAAACATAGATCTACTTGATGAACGTAGGTAATAATTACAATTATGAGGTCAAGATCAAACAAAGTGAATAAAAAAGTATGTGGGCGCATCGCCCGGATAAAAAGTGGAAGCTTACACATACAAAATCAGAATTTTAGCTAAATATGCTTTTCTCAATATTACCAACCATAAAATTCTTATTCAGTACTTTTTATAGAGACAAGACATTATCGAAATTATGATAACAAAATTCCCAGTAAGGTCAAACATTTTTTGGCAAGGAGATTTCTGTAGTGATACAGATAACTAGAAACCTCTAAAATCAGAGAAACCTAAAATTGCTGAAACCGATTACCGTGTTTCTCCATTTACAAACTAAGTGGCCTATAGATTCAATGTTAATTACTTATTAAGAAGGACCAGTAAGTGAAATTGTGAGACATAAAAATCTGATGCACGTAGAGCACGCAACACAGTTGTAGTTACAAGTGCTCCTGAATGAGGCGAAGAAACAATCACTTGAGTGAAGAGAACTATTTCAGTTGCTTTAAGTGAAACAGCATTGACTTGGTATTTGAAAAACTGGTCACTCAAGCATCAAAACGGGACGGAATATTTATTCAGACAAAGCCTGGGACTATTAGGAACACAAGTGCATCTGTCAAAGAAACCTATAAGACTTTGATCCACTGTACAGAAAGGTCTTGTAGTAACACAGATACTTTTCAGTCATGGATTAATGCACTGCAAAGTTTTTGATGATCAGAGTATGAAGTGACTCAAGCAACCAAAAAAAAGAGAAAAAAAGGGATATTCAGCAAGAAAATAAGCGAGAGAAAAAGCACCAAAGAGTCTTATTTCTCGGCTCTAATATGAAAACAGCACATCTCCCCCATTTTATCGCCAACTACCTACTTTTCATTGAAATTTACGCCGAATTCTCTCTTTATCACATCCGTTCAGGTAGAGTTCACACACAATTCTATGATTTTAGCCCTAAATGTCTCCTGTGGTCCCCTTAATTTCCATTACGAAAAAATGTTTAGGCACAGTCGACTGGATCAGAAAAACGGCACAAGGTTGAGGGCAGGAAATAACATCATAACCTATAAGGATTAATGATAGACAGATATTTTATACCGACTTTCATAGTAACTATGAAGTTTCGCTGTCCTTTACGATAAACTGTCAAAAAAGTTACAGGTAACAGTTAATAAGTTATTTGCGAAGAATGCGTCTTAATTGCCAGGTGTTTATTAGGTGTACTTTTTAAACAACTGCCAACAAAAATTCAGATTTATAGTAATGTTTTTTCAACACTGAACACTGGACCTATAGAACAATGGAAGGTTATCATTTCAAATTAGTACATATATTTTTTTGTTTTCCTTCAACCACGCTTTTGAAGTTTTTCGGTCATGTCGTGGAAGTCCTGTTCCGTCGCGATGTCAGACAATTTAGTGAGTTCCTTTTTTGTGACGGATGATGATAAGAACCATGTCAGCGAGCCTAATGATTATGAAGGGAAAAGCATTCTTAATTCGTAAACCTGGACTTCTTAAATGACAAATAGTGAGAAGGGGATGGCAGCTTCAAGATGAAAGGTGGCTTATCTTTTTTATTTAAGAAATGGTGTCAGCAGAAATTTTGTTAAGATTTGACCGGCTTAATACTCCCTTCATATACATCTACCAAGAACACATCAATAAACCTAGGGGCAACGATTGGTTCAATAGAGACCATAACTGTTGACACCTCTGAAATAAAAGAAATGAGTGACCTGGGGGATGCACAGCGTTAGGTTTAACAAATATATAACCATTAAACTAGTCATCATTATCTGTGACACATTTGTTCTTCCAAATGTTAGATAAACAGTTAACAACAATGAAAAAAACAGGCTGTGATATGTGTTGTAGGTCGTCACCTAGAAAACTGGACGACGTTTTAAAACGATGAACACAATTTGCAAACTGACGACAGTTCCCGTCAACAGATTCAACCAGTTCACCATCAAGGACTTTCTGATTTTTAGACACTTCCAACTAATGTTTCAAAAACATTCTTTTTAGATCTAATGCACATGGTGTACTAAGGTGTGGTGAGGAAACTAATCAACTTATGGATAGGTTTCTTTTACAACAAACTTAGAAACATGATCAAATCTATAATCACGGGCATAAAAGAATCAACTTCGAGCTGTGTTGAAAGTACCCCATCAGACTCGCAGAGTAAATGTCGTACATTAGACTTCATCTCCGTATGGAAAGCGACAGGATTTCGATTGTTCCTTCACTATTTCGGCTCCATAATTCTGGAAACTTTCCTACCAATACCATCTTAATTAAATTTTAAACGTTTACTATCAACGATATATCTGTTACTGCATCCTAAATTACATATAAGGGCAACGGATTCAATTATAAATGACTTAATGAATTTCCTCGAATAATAGGAATGGTATTGAGGACCGGAATGCTTAGTTTATAATGGTCATTCGTTAAAGCAACTTCCTCATGACATTCTTTAGCATGTGACTGGGGATTCTTTATATGAGGTAGATTAAGAAATCGGTGCATAGTAGTTATGCTATAGCGAGGCAGGCAGCTCAGCGTTGTGTGGAAAAGATATCATTCTTTGGTAGGCCTCAAGCTAGCATGTCGGGAACTAATATAGACACGTCCGTCAAGTACGGTAACAAGAAATGAAGTTACGCTTAAAAACACTAAAATCACTTTATTAAAGTCGGATTACGCAATAATACCACACAATAAAACCGGGTTAATCATTGACACAGGGCAAATGGATTGATTAAATTCAGAACTTACTGACCTACGATATTGTTTTACGGAAGCATTTCCTGCTAGTGGCATAGGTATATTTATGTGGTCGGGAGTTAGCCATGATTTAGTTATTTATTTAAACACATAAATATTGGTACAAAAGGGGACCAGGTATATATGCGCCAAACAAATCTCATTTGATTTGTGTGATGGTTGTGATACTACCCAGATGCTCAAACAGAAGCAGGTGGTTTTCTTAGAAGACCACACTCGGAGCCTTTGATCTAAAGATCTGATCCACAAGGCAGTAGAGCATCGTAAGGAGATGCGACCCCATGGTAGACGGTGACCAACGATTGATCCGTACTCCATTTGTTCCCTCAGGATACTGGAGCCCATGTGCACCATTGGTTTGGAATCAGGGTTTTCCAACCCCCTTGGTGGGCCACCAAGGTGTCCACCAACCAGGTTAGGGCGCCGGACATTCACTTTTCGTCCTCTCAATTTCGTAAACTACACCCCCGCCACGAGAAGGCAGTGAGTAGGACTTCCCTGGCAGAGGCTATATACGCGTGGCCATGTGAGAGCATTTCGAGAGGGAGAGCGGACTCTCTCCACTCTCGGCCGTACCAGGGCATTTTGGGGGCATTAGCCATGAGCAAATATGGGTTTTCACTATCGATGTATATTGTAAGTGTATTTCCGTAAACTGTATCAATAATGTAGTAATCGTTTTGTTGCTACATACATTCATGTCTTCAGCAAGAAGACATGCGAGACAAGTTTGAAAAGCTATTAAATTAATTGGATTATCATTTTATATTCCAGATACACACGGTGATATGACTAGTGGATGATACTAATAAAGCTCCCATACGCTATATGTTGGAATACGTCACGAAACTTGATGTTCTCAGCCATTTTATACAACTTGTCATTTAAGAAGTCCAGGTTTACGAATTAAGAATGCTTTTCCCTTCATAATCATTAGGCTCGCTGACATGGTTCTTATCATCATCCGTCACAAAAAAGGAACTCACTAAATTGTCTGACATCGCGACGGAAGCGGACTTCCACGACATGACCGAAAAACTTCAAAAGCGTGGTTGAAGGAAAACAAAAAAATATATGTACTAATTTGAAATGACAACCTTTCATCGCTGTCCTAAACGTGTTTTGTGATGGAAACAAACGCGGCCACAGAAGACATTTAAGGCTGAAAGCACAGAAAGTTGCTTGAACTCTGCGTAAACGGATTCGAGATCCTGCTTGGATTAAAATTAGATGATTCGGCATTTATTTATACGTATATACAATATTTAAAGTATATTGTAAGGCATTAAAGCACAAATTCATCACAATTGATGCTTTAAGGACTATTTTGAACAGACTTTCAGTAGAACAATGAAGAGAAAAGTAAATTACACACTACCTATCAATTTTAACGTATGGTTTATGTAAAGTATACTACTTACCTTTGGTATCAGATTTCCAGACTCTCCAACTTGATTTAATAGTTCTGAGTCAGTAACAAGAGTGACCTGTGACCCTGGGCCTTTGTTGCCATTCTGAGATGCACTAGTTGAACTTGCGATCACAACTTTCCCAACTACACCATCAGAGCCAGCATTATGCCAAAGTTCAGCTAAATATTTGGGAACTTTGACTAACCAGACTCCATCTTTGGCTCTGCTTGTGTCAACTACATGCAAAGCATGTGCATCACAAAAAATATCTGACGCACTCTTCGGTTTTACATTGGACATAATGACCTCGAAAGACGTACTACCCGCCACCAAATGCGATAATACAGTAGCCTGACTATGACAATGGTTGAAATCACAGTTTACATCACGAACTGATTGTTCTTAGACTACTGATGAAATCCAGAAAGCCTTGGATAGTTTTCTCATCACATAATGGAACCTTTTTGTTGTGTTTAACCACAATAATTCGGGTGGGACACATGACTTAGACTTCCAAATACCAACTTTGTTAGGGAGAAAAAGGGTACTTTTTGTTTCTTGGAATCTGTACCTGGGAGGTAGAAGAGTTAAAATTGATCCGAAGATATGATTATTTTCGTATTTCTTCTGAACCTAAACAGGTTAGTTATGAATAGTGGAGGTAATAGTAGAGCACCACGTAATGCTATCACTCTGATACCTACACAATTTTAGTAGGCACTGAGTCTTCTTTTAGAAGAGTTTACAAAAAAGCTTTTACTATTATCACACCTGGCAATGAGTATGACAGTTTAGTGGTTGTGGCCACGAAAAATTTGCACAGATTTTTTGAGAACTTTTTCATATACTATCCTAAATGGACGTCCTCCTAAGTGCGATTTGGTGCATAGATGAATAGGAAATCTGCCGCGATGTAGGTGATTATGAACAGGAATCATATTCACTTAATTCTAGTGCGTTGCACTGGTTGCAAATTCTGGGCCTACAGGGGAACTGAGCAGTATTTACTTTTATTTCGAGTACCCTTTTGCCACATTTCTTCAAACGCTTTTCAAAGAAGGGAATATATTTCCCAATGTCACGCCTTAGGTAAATACTAAAACAGTATTATATGGTTCTGCAGTCGGGTTTCTGAACTTTATGAGGATATATATGAACCCGTAAATCACTGTGATGGCGAAAAGTATTCATGGACACTAAGAAGATGTTAGAGTTGAACTTGTGAACTAATGGATGCCGGCTCGATAGTTCAAAGGTTGGACGTTACCATCTACAACCAAAATCCTTGCATTTTGTCATGACTAGGTTATAGGTGCTCAATAATATGGGTACCATGCTGTAGAGAAGCAGTTATGTAATGCTTTCTGATGGTAAACTGTTGTTTAACTGGGATCAGTGAATGGTACAAACTGTGAATCTTTCAATATATTGCAGACGCCAATTGAGCCAGTCCATTATTGTAGTCGAAGTTTGCTTGGCCTTATTGAATTTATTATCTTGAACCTCTTCAGCATCAATATAGCTAAACAACACTGAAATGTTGCCAGAGTCAGAGTAAATATATAACAGAAGTACACTGATGTTAATACCGGTCTGATTTCATAGATTTCCATTCAACTCATCTGCTGGTTATCTCACTTTTCTATCTGGTTATAAACTATTTATTTAAGGTTCGCAGTTAATTAATGTTTCTTAATGAATAGGTATGCATTATCCAATCGTCTTCTTCGTCTTATCTCAACAACCGTAGTGATCATCCAGTAGTGTGCTGAAACTCAGCTAATTGAGATAAAAAAACTCAGCTAATTTTTCAATTAACTCAATCGTCAGATTGCAATAAGCAATATGTAATCGACAAGATCATTTTGGAGAACATAACTCGTAGCTTTTCCCATTCCCCTCAAATGAATAGCCCAAATAAAGTTAACTCATATTCAATCATATCGTGACTTTTGGCTTGAGACTACGCTTTACAATTCACACAAAGACACGTGGATATGCTTGCATGTGGCTGGTATCAAGACCTCGAGTACTTTGTGACGTTGTCATGTGTAACTTTTTTAATTTCTTTGCCTCATATACTAATGTGCACCCTTAGTAGGAGACGATGGATATCACATTACTACATCAAGGGATTTTAGTTGACAAGCATTTTTAGAAAATAGATACTTGTTCAAGTGAACGTTATATGCCTCAGAGGACATGTAGAATATTTAGAGGTGTAAATATGAGAGTGATTAATTACGAACGAGATATGACCTTCTGAAGTTAAATGTTCAGGTACGCTGGCCAGCATAATAACCTCCGTACAACATGTCCTAAAAGTGAGCTTATTCAAAGATCTAAACCATGTGAAGATTTTTCACCACTTTACGAGGTCGCGGGTTTGTAATGCTTGTTTATCGAATTCAGAAGTTTCTTTGACTAATTCAGACCGTTGGAAATGTCGGATGATGAATATCAAGAAGTAGAAGGCATTTTTACATTTCACTTCACAATCAGGACTTCCAGCATCTGTAAGGTTTAATATTGCTAGTAATACATATGAACTATCATCAAAAATTCACTTAATACGTGGAAATAATAATAATTATGTGAATTTCGGACTGATAGCTGACAGTGATTCGTTTGTGGGGAGTAGTGTAACGTTGTGTACTATATTACACCTACATAGCTTATTCTAGTTTCTGGACAAGCCAATTCACCTATAGCGTTATGAGTCATGTTTTGATCTTGTTAATTATTCGCTTATTGACCTTGACTATTTTTTTATATGAGCGCATGTGTATGCACCCTTCTTATCCTACCTATCACATGTCTGTCATTCATTTTAGCCTGACTATAAATGTTGATTAATGCTCGCTTATAACGAGTTGGCTTCCCAGCCATCTCCACTCTGCGTCATCTTTCCTTCGCTTGCTTACATTTGCTAATGTGCTTACTGCCTTCTAGCCCATGTTAGTTATCAATGAAAATGTAGTTGCTGCTTCCCTTTGTCTTCTGATATTATACACCGTTCAGATTGTTATAATAACGGTTATCAAGACGATCGATTAACGAAGCACTACACTACATATTGGTAATCCCGACGTACGAACACGCAACACTATTGGCGATCCCGAATTACGAACGCGAAGCAAAGTTGGCAACCTCAACGTACGGCTACATATTGGTTAGCCCGAGATGCGAACACGTAACAAAATTGGATGCCTCGCCGAACGAACACTCAACATATTGGTGAGCTGTATTTGGAACACGCAACAGAATTGGCGACCACAACGAGCGAACACAAACCAAAAATGGAACCGTCGACGACATATTCTGTTATGATTCAAATAATCATCATATGCTCATTATTACAATAATGTCATATAATCATCTAACGTGGAATTATTATTTTTGTTCGTATTGACATTAAACTATGACATTTACGCAGTCATATCACTAATCGAACAAATTATAATGATATGGACATTACACGTTATGATATTCGAAACTCACTGGATTATTTTTATTATCCAATGACGAAAATTTTTCCTGATTCGGGTGAGTTCGTTCCAATTTTTTTTAATGTCATTTTCGGCTTAATATTACACTCTATCATAGACATAAGTTTGGAGTCATACTCCCGATAGTAGGAACTTATGTTCTCGATAGACAACTAATGTTCATTCATCTCATCGGTACTCAGCAATCGTCGTTTTCTACTTTTTACGCGACAACCTTAACTGAGCTTCAGCAATTTCGGTTTCACGATGATCCCTACTTTAATGTCTATACATAAACCAAGTATTTGACGCCGCATTACCAGCCGATTAGTAATGATTATTTTCATATTATTTATTCATTCACATGTATATCTGAATGCTGCATCATCCATCACCGATAATCACAATTCGATTACTGCAATTAATATTTTATTTCCATTGTACTGTACACCAGAACATAGAGTTTAGAGCTAGTCTCTCAAAGATACACTCTTGTTCGTCACATTCAAGTCAGTCTCACTCGCTGTCATCGACAATCATATGTATTGGTATTTTTATCATGCCTTAAAACGGTTTCGTAACAAATGAGGTTGAGCGCATATCCCTCCAACTACACAAACCACGCTAGGCTTCTAGACCAAAAAGGAATACGACTCCGCATATCTCGTCTAAGCAGTCACTATCCTGTTCCTCTGGTCATTCTACTAATACATATTTAACGACAACTCAATGCAAGCGTTAGCGCACGCTGATTTCGCATTTTATTATCATAATCAATTGCAGTACAGCAATGAATACCACTTGTTGATGCAGTCATCTTCCTACGGCTGGATTACTTCTTATCCCACATAAACTTCAGTTACGTAAATTCGAATACACTCATCGCTAAGAGACTCTATTTACTCTAATGCGGCTTATCAGAACATCATATTTCACTGTTCTTCATTCTCATATTCAATTGGCACTACAGACCAATTTCTATTATATTCTACATTACTTATTTCCACGATTTATTCCGCTGTCATACCCATAAACAATTTATTGCTCTATTTTCACGATAGTTCGAATTGCTCATACAAACATGTTATTTTATCATCCGGACAGTGACGACATAAATGCATGTTAAATTTTTTGTACGCTTACTAATTTACTCATAATCACATGCCAACATTTCCATTTCTGTCCTCATTTTGACAATTTTCGTGTACATTTTCACATAAGTGTGACACTTTCGTTTAATAAACTCTCCCCTCGATCGACACTGTAACTTATTCGATATAGTACAATTTTTTTTCTCTACATATTATTAATGTTATCCACATGCCATTTCAGTGTTATTTTCAAATTAATGTGCTATTACTTTAATTTTGGTTTGTGAACGCATATACACCTCCTCCCCCTTGTTTATTTTGCATAACAGTGTTTCCTCCGGACACTCTGGGGGGGAGCTATGTGGGGAGTAGTGTAACGTTGTGTACTATATTACACCTACATAGCTTATTCTAGTTTCTGGACAAGCCAATTCACCTATAGCGTTATGAGTCATGTTTTGATCTTGTTAATTATTCGCTTATTGACCTTGACTATTTTTTTATATGAGCGTATGTGTATGCACCCTTCTTATCCTACCTATCACATGTCTGTCATTTATTTTAGCCTGACTATAAATGTTGATTAATGCTCGCTTATAACGAGTTGGCTTCCCAGCCATCTCCACTCTGCGTCATCTTTCCTTCGCTTGCTTACATTTGCTAATGTGCTTACTGCCTTCTAGCCCATGTTAGTTATCAATGAAAATGTAGTTGCTGCTTCCCTTTGTCTTCTGATATTATACACCGTTCAGATTGTTATAATAACGG